AACGCTCGGGATGTTGCCAGCAAGATCGATGCTGATAAAGATTTGGATGAGCCTCTGGGTGAGGTTCAGATGTCGCAGCTCATGGCTGATTGGAAGAAGAGTTACGACTTGGAAATGGATCCCCAGCTCGAGCCGGCGGACACTCTCAGAGGCCGAGTCTTCCGTGAGTTCAAGCGAAAGTCTATGACCGTTCTTGAGATGCGTAAAGTGAAGACTGTGGTCTCGGCATGCGTTCCATCTACCACGGAGGTGGCTATGCTCTCAGACAGCCTGGCCTTGCAATTGAAGCGCGAGCAGATTTCCCCGATCAAGGACGTTGTGCAGTACTACTGGCGGTTGCGTACTTTGTGCTACTGCTGGGCTTTCTGTGGTAATTGGATGATGGTTGATCATGATGGTGTCTCCCGCAAGATGATGACTCTCACTGATGCTCTTGCTTACGCAGACAACGCATTGCGCGAAGCCATGACCTATGGCGCAGGAAGCCTCTCATGGTTGGAGCGTGTGGACACGCTCACAAGGGGCCGTATGGCCTCTCTTGTACGGCGAGGCTGGTCTGCCAGTCAGGCCCTCAAGGAAGCCCGGAGAGAGTCATATCTTGATTGGCGTCCGCCGGCATCATCCGACCCCCAGGGCGAGGCTGGCCCTGCAAGACGCCGTCCCGATGGAGTACCGGAACCTCCTGCCAAGGTTGCTCGGCCCCTAGTGCGCACAGTGAGCATGCTGAAGGGTGTCAAGAAGTTGCGCAAGCCCTGGAACGATGACAGGGGCTGCTCGGGCAACTGTGGCAATGCTCATCTTTGTGATGTTCGTTTGGAGTCAGGCGCTGCTTGTGGCCAGAAGCACAAGCGTTCCCAACACAAATTCGATTGATGGGAGGAGGGCTCCCCTGCGCCTCCTGGGGAGCCTCCTCGCTCCGTGACTTTGGAGGCTGTGGCTAGTACATCGGCGTCGGCCCCGAGCACACCTGTGACCAACTGTGCCCCCGCCTTGGAGGATGTGGATCGAGTGGCCCTTGACCTTCTTGCAAAGGAGGATTTCTCGGAGCAGGCATGCCTCCAAATTCTGCGCGGTTGTTTTGCCAAGCCTACGTCGAATCGTCGGCTTGCTGTACTAGGTCAAGCGGGGCTTGTTAACTACCACATCCTGGGCTTCTTTGCTTCCCGCACAGGCATCGGGCTTACGGATGGTACAAAGCATTTCCCCGCTGTGTGCAAGTACATCAATGTTTGGCTCAGGCAGTTCTTCCCCCAGGACTCTTGGTGCAGCATTGCTGTTAGCTTTAACTTGCTCACAAAGGTGCATGCGGACATGTCGAATGACCTGGCCATCCCGAACAAGTGCATCGCTTTGGGCCCTCATAAAGGTGGTCGTTTGTGGCTTGAAGACCCCCGGGGCAAAGTCGAGTACCGTGATTCAGGTGGACAGATCCATTTGGGTCGCCAGGTGGACATTCGCATGAAGCCATGTACGTTCCAACCTCGGCAATTACACGGCAGTATCCTGGATCCTTTCCAAGGTGAGCGGTGGGTCCTCGTTGCCTATGTCCCCGAGGCCTTTCGCCGGAGTGAGCCCGCAATCCATTGTCAGTTGCGTGATCTGTTGTTCCCAGTGTCGGACCTCGGCCTGTGTCGCATGGTGCAGTTCTCAAAAGCCGGTGAAGAAAGATCCGAAGTCCGCACGGTCCAGATGGAGGGGGCCTCGGATGTCAGGGCTCCTGATACCTTAGACCACAGGGACCGTCGTAGCCTGTCGGAGTTGCTCGTGGCGGCGAGGCCGGTCGTCTGGCGTGGAGCTGGTGATCTTCTTCAGGTTCCATGGGCTAAAGGTCCCCCGGGCCGTTGGCTGATACTTGACCTCTTTGCGGGATATTCGGGTCTGTGCATTGCCGCCTTGTCGGCAGGCCTGCACTTTTGGGCTCTCACCGCCGAGACAGATGAGGGGGCCCGCAAGGTAGCGTCAGCTGTTATGCCCAGCATTGTTCATGTCTCGGATGTTGTCGATGTGGAGGTTGATGCCCTGCTTCCATTCATTCGCCGTCGTCGACCTCGAGGCATAATCATTGGTGCAGGCACCCCGTGTCAGCCCCACAGTGTCCTCAATCGACGGAGACGAGGCATGGATGATCCACGTGCCAGGGCCCCGGAACAAGTTCGTGATCTTGCTGCCGCTCTTCGTGGCCATCCAGAATGTGATCGACTGGAGGTGCTGGTCCTTCTTGAGAATGTGGCTTCTATGGATGCCGTTGCCTGTGCTCAGTACTCCGAGTGGATGTCGTCGCAACCTGTGGTCATTCAGGCTGCCGATTGTGGCTGGACGGCCAGGCACCGCATCTACTGGCTGAGTGGACGCACCCGAACCTTGAGCCCGACAACCTGTCAGGCGCCATCCGATTGGACTTGGGCCTCGGACGATCGTGGCCGGGCCCAGCTTAAGTACTGTGGCCAGAAACCAGTTCCTAGTCGGGTGCACTTCGAAGGTGGGTTTCAGCTCCTTCAAGATCCAGCCATGGTTATGAAAGGGGAGGCAGAGCCTGTGTTCACTTTTACCCGGGAGTTCTTTCATCCTGACGACAACACACAAGGTGTTCCTGCTCAAGCTGTGCGGCGATTTCGGCAAGACTCTCAGCGATTTCCTCCAGCAGCCTACAACGAAACATCATTGGTTTGGCGAGGTGATGAGTGGAGGCAGTTGTCTCCCTCTGAGAGATCCCAGATGCTTGGAGTCCCGCCTTCTGCTACTGCAGCCGTGACTGGTAACCAGGATGAAAGATGCCGCGTTCGCAACAGCCTCCTGGGGAATGGGTTCCATTTGCCTTCCATCCTTGTGCTGATTTCGGTGCTGGCCCAGCTGTGTGATGCCAAGATTTCCTTCATGCCCGACCCGCAGCAGGAAGCTTTAAGGGCTCGCACTGCTAATACCGTCTGGGGGGGTGACTGGCTCTACAACGCTCCAGGCCTGCTCTCGGTTGACGATGTCGTGCATGACATGGAGATGCAGTTCGAGCCATTGTCTGTGCCCCCACTGGTTTGGCAGGAGTGTCGAACGTCTCTCTCGCATTGTGACATCGTGCTGCCCCAAGCCTTCTCTTGTTTTCAGCGCAGTCGTGGGAAAGATTGGGATCAATGCCCCCCGCGACCCATCTTGGCCAGGGACCGCACGCAGATCTTTGCATCCAACTCCGGCCAGAGATACTCTTCCGAGGAGTCGCGAGGGTTGGATTTTCTTCTCCCGCCAGGTTTGGGCAAGTATGGCCATGTGTTGGCGTCCGCCCAGCTCCAGTCACCCTTCTGCGCTAAACGATGGCCTGATGATGACGTTTTCTTTGTGGCTCACACAGTTGCTGTTTGGCAGGATTGCTTACCACTGCTTGCTGCTCGCCAACGCCATTGTCTTAAATGCATCTCACGTGCTCGTACTCCGCTTCGTCAATGGTTGTGTGGGGCACGATGCGACAGTGCTCTGCGAGTGGCTTCTGCCAAGGACCCGGCCTTTTTGGCGTGCATGACTGCCCTGTTGCGGTGGCCTGACCGTACTCAGGCCATATCTTTTGTGCACGGCTTCGCCATTGTCGGAGAAATCCCTCGCACAGATATCTTCCGCGAGATTGTGCCCAAGGAGGCTGAGGACATTCAAGCTTGGCTCGGTGATGATGCTGCGCATCGCGTTGATGAGATCATGTCTAAGGGACCGCCTCGATTCTCCGATGAAATTTGGGCTGTGACTCAACAGGAAATCGACAAGGGCTTTTGTTCCCAGCCGCTGACGCGCTCCCACGTCGACAAGCTCTTCGGTCGTGGAGGCTGGAGGCCTTTAGAACGGTTCCTCATCATTCAACCTGATGGAAAGCAGAGGGTGATAGATAATGCGAAGCGCACGGGCCATAACGATCATGTCCAAATGTTGGAGACGATCTTCACGGTCTCCGTCGATTTTATAGCCTGTGCTATCCGTGATGTCCTCAACCTCATTTCGGTCGATGGCGACTGCTTACCTCCACAGGTGGATGATTGGCTTGATGTTCGCGTCGGCACTGACGATCTGCCGGATGCTTACAGGGGCCACCCTGTCCTTCAGAGCCAGCTCAAGTTCTCCATCGTTGCCGTCTATGTGCCAACTGCCGGTTGGAGGTTTATTATTCTGTGGGGCTTGGCCTACGGATTGGAGGCCGCGGTAGTGGCGTTCAATAGGTTCTCCACTTTTGGTGTTTCCATTGCTCGGAGGTGTGCTAGCTCCATGGCGGCGGCCTACTTCGACGATGAGCTGTCGGTTGAGTTCGTGCACGGCTCCTGCATTTCCCAGACGGGGTTAAAACTGGTGTTTAAACTCCTGGGGGCACCTCCTCAACCGGTTAAAAGCTTCCCTCCAGCAGCTGATCGTCATTACTTGGGAGCCTCTGTCCATGTCGGCGATGTGTTTGCCCACCGTGAGATCTGCGTTCAACCCAAATTCTTGACGGTGCAGAAAGTGCTTTCTAAGATTGATCAGATCATAAATGTCGGCCGCCTTGATCGTGATGGCGCTGGAAAACTTCGCGGTGATCTCATGTGGCTGTTCTCCTCCTGCTCAGGTTTCGCTGGCAAGTATGCCGGGCCTCTTCTTGCGCGATATCAACATGGCGACGATCCCTCTTTGGACGACGAGGCCCAGCTGGTGCTGTCCTCGCTGAAGGATCTCGTGCTTGCCGCTGGCCCGCGCAAGATATCTGTGCTGGGCAATCCACCGAGCCCGCTTTGCATCTATACTGATGCTTCGTTTGAGAACGGTGAACTTCGACTCGGATGGATTATCCTTCGTGATCGGGTTTGCTTAGCCGCGGGTACAAGTGTTGTGCCCCCAAGCGTCCTTGACGCTTGGAAGCCGCGTACTCAGCAGATCTTTCCAGGTGAGGCGCTGTGTGTTTTGGTGGTCCCAGCGCTCCATCCGCAGCTCCTTTTTCAGGAAGATGCTGTTTGGTTTGTTGATAACCAGGCTGCGCTTGTTGCCGCTATCAAGGGGGGATGTCGTGAGACTGACGTCCACGCGATCGCGTATGCAGCTGCTACTTTGAGGACTAGGCTCTCCTTCCGATGCTGGTTTGAATGGGTGGATTCTGACTCAAACCCATCTGATGGGCTCTCTCGAGTGGGCCTTCAATGCGAGTTCATTGCATCTCAGGGCTGGTCTGCTGAGGAGTTTGTTCTTCCAGCTCTCTTTGCCAATCCTGCTGACGTTTTGAGCTCGATGGCTTCTCGCTTGAATGCTGAAACAGTGGGTGATTGACTGTCAGGCTTTTAGAAACAGTGGGTGATCGAATGCCGCTGCACATATCTCTGATCTCCGACCAGGATGTGCGATTTAACCCATCGTCTTTGACGATGGCCGATATGCTCTGAAGTAGCTCAGCTATGCATCACTCCACGGATCAGCATTCTCGCAGGGAAAAAAGACTGAGTGCTTGCACATGTTCTGTTACATCAGGCTGCATGGCTGGTTGGGAAGGGCCTGCCTGAGTATTGAACATGTAAACCACTCATGTCTATAACCTCAGCAGCATGTGGTTCGAGAGTTAGCATGATGTGCTCATTTCTTTCCCCACCCACTCCTCCCTGATAGCCTCTGCGGCTTGATGGGGGTAGGGTCTTTGTTGGGGTTTGCTTTCGGCTTTGCGATCGGGTAATCGAATGCCGCTGCACATATCTCTGATCTCCGACCAGGATGTGCGATTTAACCCATCGTCTTTGACGATGGCCGATATGCTCTGAAGTAGCTCAGCTATGCATCACTCCACGGATCAGCATTCTCGCAGGGAAAAAAGACTGAGTGCTTGCACATGTTCAATGAGGCAACAGGCTCTGGAGCGATTCGTCGCAATCTCCAGAGCGGGTGATAGGGGTGATGGGTGGGAGGTTGTAACTAGCGGACTAGCCCTACCCCGTGTGCTGCAGCGCCTGCTGCTCAGCCCATTTTCCCTTGGAAACGACGCCTCCCTCGCCAGGCCCTCCAGTGCCCAGGGTTTCCCGTGCCAGCCAGCCGGCTGTCCCCAGAACCCAAACATCCACCCTTGGCCTTTTTTCCTTCGTGCCTTCTGCACTACCCTGACATCTGCCGTTGTCGTCAGCAAGTGGAGGTTCCGAGTTCCGAGCATCGAGCTTCTCCCTTTCAGAAGCGAGGGTTTGCTGCTACGGAGACCAGCGACCCTTTGCCACACCAGCAGTAACAATGCAGCTGCAATTTACAGTATTTGCAACCCCAAAGGAAGAGCCAACCTTAGCAAATGAGACCGGGGGACCGCCAGCGTCAAGGGAAAAAAACCCTCTGCCGTGTGTCGCCGGGCGTACAGCTCCGCCGCAAGATGCGGCTCGCTACTTGTGACCTTTCAGAACAGATGCAACAGTGCGTTGAGTCACTAAATAACCTTACGTCAGCCTTACGTGCGGCGCTCACCATGCAAGAACGCTCCAGCAGCACATCGTCACCCGCATCGGATGCGATGCGGTGAACCTCCCAGTCAAAGTCCCGCGACCAGTTTTTGCTTGTTACGTGAGCACAACAAGATCTTGCCTTTGCGAATCAACTGTCAGCAGCAGCCACATCCAAGGTGCTCTCACTTGTCGGGAAAGCTCAAAGTCCGGCTCCCTTGGATGGTACGCCGCAGCAGATTTGGAGATTGAATATACTTCGACTTGATGCTGTGTAGCAGTAGATCTACAGCCAGGGCATATCCAGGCTTGGCCAGGCCGAACGGACATGCATGCTCCACATGCTCCTCAGGCACAGGCCCTCCCATGCGTGAAGCTGTTGAAAGCCCGATCTCTCCTTTTCAATAATGTGCGTCTTCCTTCGCATTCCTGACGACGAGTTTGCTTTCCGTGCAGATGCGTGCAGCAGCTTGCATTGGCAGGGCTGGCAGCCGAGCAAGACCAAAGCCTGTCGCCTCACGAAAACCGAGGTGTGCTTTATTCTGAGGTAGAGTAGAGTGACTTTGTCCTGAAAGTCTCAAGGGTTCCGCAGGTCTCTTCACGTGATCCTAGAGCCGAACCTTGGGTCTTTGGTGCGCCGCCGGCAAAGAACAGAGGCGGCGGACGAGCCGTTCGCTTTGTGCCGATGATGTTGCTCGGAAGTTTCCAGGAGCGCAACTTGCCTCGCCCCTCCTTCCTGCAACCCCACAGCTTTCGGAGGTGCAGCCCCTTTCCGGTGGCCTTTGTTCTCGTGCCAGAAGAGGTGACACGGAGGTTCGGCATTTTCCAGAGAGCTTTGCGTGGCTTGGCAGTTTTGCTGACCTGGCAAGCAACAAGGTCTACATGTGGGGATGGGAGCCCAACGATGCCTGCTTCCAGGATCAAGAGTTTGCGCCGCATGCTCATGTCCTTCGTCCAGCTCATAAAACCCGAGTAGAGGTGAGAAGCAGTGAGCGGCTAAAGGAACCAATTGAAAGGACTGTCGGTTCAGAAGAATTGTGCTTCTTCAAATTGAAGTTCTCGCTCAAAGGTTTTCGTCGTACACGTTGCCCGACGTGCGATGCTGAGAGTGTTTAGTTTAGCTGAGCGTGGATGCCAGAAAACCACTACGACCGGGACAGGTTCCGCGTCTGGGGCACCGAGAGGCCATTGTCGAGGCGGGTACGGGCGTAGACCTCTTCAAGCACGGGCCGCATGGGCTGTATGGTCTTGCAGCAGAAGGCGCAGCTCCTCCACGAAGTGATGAGCGGCTAGGAGCAAATGCCTGGATGTGCTCCAGCGCACATCGGGCCCCCAAGACATCTCCGAGGACAGCTCTGACATTCCTCAATGGAAAGGCAGAAGCTGCAACGGCAGCCAAGAAGGCCGTCGCATGGGAAGAAAAGGGCGCATCGATACAACGCTCCTGCGCAGTGCACTTTGTCCCCGTGGTATTGTCTCCTGCAGCTATGGGCTACGAGGCCAGCAGATCCTTTAAAGATGGCATGTGCCTCAAAAACAGACGAGGACTTCATGCGATTGGCTTTGGAAGAAGCCAGGGCTGCCATGCTGGAGGGCCGATCGGTTCAGACCTTGAGCAGCGTGTTTGCTTCGAGGTTTGCAGTTTAGATCAGTGGCATGCTTAAGAGGCGACGTGTGCACCATGTGTGCATTTCCGAGGAGAGGTGCCTGTTGGGTGCATCTTGGTGAGTCAAACCGGAGATGTGCTTGCACGTGCGGGCAACGAGACGAACCGCTCCCGGAATGGCACCTTGCAGCCAAAGACTAACGAGGCTGCGAAGTGTGTCCTCGTAGAGGAGAGCCTGCTCAGGCACGCGCCACTGTGAGTTTGTGGCCTCTGAGAAGGTGCTTCGGCAGGCGCCGGCTGTAGTATCTGGAGTTCTTGGTCTTCCTCAGGAAATCTGCCCATTGTTGTGCTGGTCTTGCAATACTCGAGGCAGATGGGCCAGCACTTCTTCGAAATAGCACACTATACGTGACTCTGGAGCCCTGCATCATGTGCGTCACTTGGCTTGCGGATGCTGTTGGCTCCCGGTCCAGTGAAAATTTCAGCTTGAGATGCTTCGGTGCACCAAAAAGGCCGCAGCTCTCCAGTATCTCGGCATCCCGGAAGTCGTGTTTGGCTCCGCGAATGTTCGCTTCGGTGGATGTGGCGGCGTTTGCGATATTCACAAGATGAAGGTGCCGAAATCAGGCACCGAAAGATGCATTGCTCCGAAGCGATGCCACATTTTGTCGAAACGGTGTTTTCTGCGATATGTAATACGATAAACAGGATTGGCTTCAACCCCCCTCCTCCTCCTCCTGCTCCTCCTCCTCCTCGTCATCATCATCATCATCATCTTCGTCATCATCGTCGTCGTCATCGTCATCGTCAGCATCGTCGTCATCATCATCATCAGCCTAGCCTATGCTAGGGACTTGCCTTGCCACTGACTTTAGCTGACTTTAGCTGGATTGACAAACAGCAACAGTGTTGAAGTGCCTGCTTAGACTTCTGCTCGGGTGAAATCCGGTTGATTGCTTTGCAAGTCTTTTGCTGTGACCATCCCACTACCAGTCCAAACCCTGAAGTGTGGATGCTGCAATCTGCACCATCGGAAGACTGCGAACCACACTTGCAACTTGCTGTCGCTCAAGCTCTGGGGTGCTTTGGGTCTGCGCATCCATGGTGTGTTAGGAGTTAGGATGCTTCTGCACGTAGGCCCGCGCGGGGGTGCTGATGCAGCGCGAGAAGCCCTTCCTGGTTTTGCATGCCGGGGCGGCGTGCTGGCTGAGGACACCATGCTTGCAGCGGCAACTTGGAGCCGTGGTTTGACCGTGTTTTGACCTTGTTCAAGGAGGCTGTTGAGGTGCTTCGAGTCCCTTTCCTGCAGCAAGCAACAGTACAGTCGGGGTAATCCACCTGCCGTGAAGCAGCTCAGGAGTTTTATGCCACCGGCAACCCCAATGCCCCTGAAGCGAAGCGACATCGACCGCTCCCGAATGCTTCGACGAGACTCTACATGAAGACTTCGTGTCATGTTAGGTGTGCTTTTCCGATTTCAACAGGTTTGCCTTCTCCTGGAATGTCTTTAATCCTCAGGTGACACCACTGGGGACAAGGTGAACGAAACTCTGCTGACGGAAAGATATTCCTGTGCCACACGGGCATTGTGCAGGTGCTGCTGCTGCTACCAACTGGCACAGTCACCGTCGTCCAGAATGGTGGTTTTGTTGCTGTTCGACATCCTGCCAACCCGCATCACCGGAAGTGTCCGAACGCCTGCCTGTCGAGCCGCCTCCCTTCCATCCAGAGTCTGGAGCACCCTGAACGTTGCTTTGATGGCCTGGACACACGTCCCGGTCTTCACCGCCAACCCTTCCGGAATCAGCGGGCGAGAATGTTGAGTTCAGGTGACGCTCAGCGGAAAGAGTCTTTCCAGAGAGCAAGGTGGTTCCAAACGTATACAGGCTTCGGATGCATGGGTTTTTCAACGTCGTCAGCATTTTGAAGGTAAGCTTTGGATGATTATGGGTTCATACGAGCCGAACCACAAAATAGGCCATAGGCCTTTGCTAGTCAGTCCAAGCAGAACAGTGTCAGTTTCTTGGATACTGTACTGCTGGATTCCTAGAGCCACAGGACCAGCACCGCCACAGCAGCACTAGCACCCCTACCTGCACCCACACGGGTGCGCCGACAGCGGCAGCAGTGGCGGCAGCAGCAGAAGCAGCAGCTGCAGCACTGCACTGCCACCAGAGGCCATTGGCCGGTTCCATCAGAGTTCGTGATAGTACGGCATGTCGCACAGAAGTGCGAACCTTCCCAGCAGCAGGGAAGCGCAGCTTTCCATGGTGGTTGGCAGTTGGGTCAGCAGGCACGCATTCTCAACTGCAATGCAACGTGCATCGTGATGGCGCGAAAGTTCACATCTGTTTTCAGCAGTGCAGCAGTGCAGCAGGACATAGCAGGACATAGCAGGATATAGCAGGACATAGCAGGACAGTGGGACTGATCAAAGAGCCGTGCACCGTGGAGCTGCGAGCACAGTTCGGCAGAATGGCACGTCATGGCCGCAGATGACCCGCGATTTTCTTTGACAGGGGCTTAGCTTAGCTTGTCGTCTTCGCTTCGTGGACCCGCGGTCGCGCTTGCGTTCGTGTGATGGACTGCAGGCCTGGGGTGGATGGAGCAAAGCGCAGCTTAGCCACTTGCTTGCAGCACGGGCACGATCTCCGGAATGTCTTGTGATGATTACTGTCGCGAGTCTGCGAACTGCTAGGGACCTCCCTCCACGGCTCCGACGTATTTGCCGAACCCCCGGTCAAGACAAAGCTTGTCTCAAGGCTTTGACATTTGAGGATGGGTGCTCGGCTGGGTATTCAGGTCGGAGTCGGCTTCGAGCTCCCCGGCTCGACGCCGATTGCTGGGAAGCGGCCGCTTCAATGCCGAGGACATCCGGATTTCGAAGCAGAGGAAAAGTATAGGTTTGCATGGGTGATGAGGAGTTAAAATGCTTCCAGCGCGTTCCGTCTCCGTCATCGACATATCAGCAGAAAGCGGAGGTGAGGGCTTTTGAAGCGCATCGGCGGAGACGGCCTCTGCAGACGGCAGGTGTACTGGCAGAACATGGGCCCCATGAGGAAGGCCTCTCCTTGGGGGCCTCCTTTGGACCGGGCCGGGCCCATGGCAGGGGCTCAGTCGCTTTGGAGGTCCACGGTGATCTGGGTTACCACACGCTTCCGGCAATGAGGGCCACGTGCTCGGTCTTCGCTTGCATCTCGAGGGCATGCGACGAGTAGCGAGTGGCGAGTTGAACCCCCTGAAGTGAATTTGCTCTTGCAAGACTCGCAAGAGCAAGCCGGGAGCTACCGAAAAGAACCCAGCGATCTCCGACAGCACGATAGCAGGAATCCAGTTTGCTCACACGAAAATGCACAAGAGCGGGTTCGTGATCGGCCTGTGGCGAGAGCGGAACATCGGCTACCAAAGCAGGTCCAGCGCTGGCCTTGGCCAGGCCATTCCGTGGACTGTGGCCAGAGCACACGGGGGCCCACTGAGTCGCGACGGCATTGCAGCAAAGAGGATCGCCTTTGGGATGTCTGTGTGTGCTGCTTAGAGAGGCGAAGCTCTCTCGATGTTGGGTTCCTTGACTTGCGCAGCGTGCTCGTCCGAGTTTCGGAGAGCTAACAGTAGAGCTAACAGCGCCACGAGCCCAGTCGGAGAGGGCCTCCGGGCATGCCTGCCATCACTCGCTCGCGGCTCGCCCCCCCAATGGAGTCATAGAGCGACGCCGGACGACAACACCCAAATAGGGCTCTCTGGAGAGGACCCGCGGGGGCAAGTGTCAAGGAGTTTCAGAGGGGCCGTCTGGCGCCCTCCGTCGCCCTCCGTCTCGCCCAGGGCGAGTTCTATCGCTACCGCGCCGCCTCGTCGCACCAGGAGCTTGGAACGGAGCCTCGAGTCTGGCGCCTGTTGCCGTTTGGTGGTGTCGCAGGAAGCCAAAGAGGAGACGACGAGGCGCGCGCAGCTCATGGCAGGTTCAGGGTGTTCAACGCAGTGGCAGGCAGGAGCCCGTCGCCGAGAAGCCGACGCTGCTACCGAGGGAGGCACAGAGAGAACACCGGAACTTGAACTTTCGGGCAGAGAAAGAGAGAAAAAACATCTCCAGGAGATGACGGCGAGCTTGCTAGATGAGACCGGCACTTGGGGCCAAGAGGTTCAAGATGAGAAAAGCAGAGCTGGTGGAGCTGAGCTTTGAGGATCTATCCTCGGCGACCACCGTCCAGGGAGAAGGAAGAAGATGCGAGAGGCAAGTCCGTGGCTTACACCGTCAAAAGCAGGCTGCCTCGCTCTTAGGTCTTAGGCTCCCTCAATACCAAGGTCTCAGAATCAGAAGCTGCGCAAGCAGACCGCATCCAACTTGCCAGAGCAGTGCACCCAATGCCGTCGCAGAGGGTGTCAGCCTTGCGTGATTGTCTCATCTCAGGCAGACGGGCCACATCTCTGGAGCCAGTGCCCAAGATTGGATCTTCGGCTTGTCCACCAACATCTCCTTGAGCTCTCCGAGGAGCGTGGCACACTTGCACCAGCCTCGAGTCACTCAAATCGCTTTCGATTTTTTCGGTGGTTTGTTGTACTAGCAAGGCAAACGGTTTCGCGGCCAACAAATCCTTGTCACAGGCTTCCCGACGGCCGCGAGCCTCAGAAGCTGCTCAGACTTTCCAGACCGGTGAACGTGCTGAGGCTGATCCATTTTCGACAAAGGATCCTTGAGAAGTTCTCGACCATGAAGTCTGCCTTCGAAACGTGGTTTACTTGGCTGGGAACGGTTTCTGTATGTCTCTGTGGCCCATCCAGTTCGAGCTCTCGCCGTAGAAAGTTGTAGAAATGTGAGGTTTGCACAGGAGCATGGCCCTCACGGCACCACAAAAGAGCTTACAAAGAAGGAGCAGCATGCACAAGCTTCCTTGTGACACCCCACGGCTTGTGTCAGGAGTTCTCGCGGTTTCTCTTCCGTCACTTCAACGGCCTCCCGAAGGAGGTGCATGTGCTGTCTGGTACATCGACCGCGGTGAGCGTCCAGTCGAACCTTGGTGGTGACGATGCGTGCTGCGTTGTTGGCTCCAGGAAGGCAGGGTAGATGCATGGTATGATGTGCTGCGGCGCGCTGGATCGAGCACGCGGTGCCTCGGAGATGGGGAGCGGAGACGGAGCGAAGGAGTCGCCAACCGGGCGGCAGGCCGCGGTTGTCTCTGAGGTGTTCTCCAGGCGCAGCGGGCGCAGCGGGCGCAGGAGGATGGCTGGAGCCTCCGCGGTCCTCAGCCGAGCACCACCGCCTTACTTTCTAGCAAAGTTGATGTCAGCGGATGGATGGTTTTAGGTCTTCATCATGGACATGAAGGGGAAGGTCATCATCAGCACGGGCCTCACGAGCTTCACTTACTTGGGAGATGTGGCAAGTCTCGCGCCTGGGGAGGCAGAAACTATCGAGGTGAAGTGCCAATGAACATCACCGAAAGGCAGCCATTCTTGCATCCAAGTATAACTTGACAACGCCAATTGCAGCAATGCGCCCCGGCAAGGTTCCAGCAGCACGTGATTGATGCTGAGGACGCGACCATAAAGCCAGTTTTCTGCGAGGACACGTGGGCTGTGCAAGGGCTTTGGTTTGTTTCCTTGCTTCCACGGCTTCGCATCGTTTTGGTGCTCAATGCGGAAACCCACAGGATGGCATCAGTTTCGCCTGGATCCAGCACTTCGTCTGAATTGCTTTCCGGGAGCAGTGTTGGACTGCTGCCTGTCTCCGGCCATCGGGGCACTGCCTAGCAAGGTATAACAACCTGTACTTGTTAGCACGGCCCTCAGACCTCATGGCTGCCATGCTGACCGATTTTGAGGGACTTTGGCTGCAGACAGAAGCAAACATCGAGGCTGTCACCCAGAGAAACTCCAACGCCACCTTGATTGTGGCCTTTCTCTATAGATTGGCAGAGGTGTGGATGTGTGTGTGTGTGTGTCAAAGTCTGTCTGTGCGTGTATGTTATCTTCGCGCAGCATGTGCAATCACATCCATGAGATTCTGTTCAGGTTCTCAGAGATTACTTCAATGAGCTCGAGGAGGAAAGCATAAAGGACAGCGCGTGAGATCATCTACCATCCAACAGTTGTCTAACCGGAGTCGAGCTTCAAAATTCAGGACAACTTTGTGATCACCTATGAGCTTCTAGATGAGATGATGGACAATGGCTACCCTCAGACAACCGAGGCAGTCGTCTGGAGCTGATTCGCCGATCTGACAGAGATTCGGAGATTGCTTGTGGAGGTCAAAATCCTAAGGGAGTACATCAAAACCCAGTCACACCAGCTGGAAGCTCGTCTCCCACTGGCTGAGTCCTTTGGCCGAGTGCCTGTCCGGCTAGGCTGTCTGTGGACCAGATGCGACCGCCCACAGCAGTGACAAACGCCGTGTGATCAGCTCAGTGTTCGCAGCAACTCTTCGACAGTGGCTCATACACATTTGTCGAGGTCTTGGCGGTCCGAGGGCATCAAACACAAGAAAAACGAGATTTTTTTGGATGTTGCCAACGACCCGGATTCAGTTGAAAGCATGGGGTGCTCTGTGTGGCCGAAGCGATCTGAGGTGGAGCGCCTCAACCTCTTAGTTTCAGCTAACGGCTCTGTGCTCCGTTCGGAGATCTTGGGTGCACTTAAAATGAAGCTCACTACTCAGCGAGTACACCATGATAGATCAGCTGTCGCGATGGTGGCTGCTATGGGACTTTAGGTCATACCTTTCCGGCATGCCAGAGCTGAAGCTGGGTCTCAACGACAAGCTTCTCTTCGAGGTTTGCGGCTCACTGAGAGTGCTGCATTACTAGTTACAATGTGCTGCAACTGTCAGGCCACTGGACGACCTGTGGCCAAGGGAAAGTCCGTAGAGATGGAGGCTACACTGTCTGCACGGTTTTGACTCCGACTCGTGAATTGTTCCGGAGGACATCAAGTTCCATCAGTGTGTACGGCTCGCTCGATTCGAGAACGACCGCACGATTTCCTTCATTCCGTGACTGGCCCAACAAACAGCCCCAACATGTGTCAGCTTTGTCGGACCTAGGCCCGACGGAGAGTTCGAGCTGATGAGTTACAGACTGAACACCCATGTGAAACCCCTCATATGGGTCGAGGCTGGAAGCCGCTTTGTTGCGCTTTTTGCCACGCACATCCCTTGCGCCTCTTTGAGAGCGGCAGGCAGTGGTGGATCCCGGCCACTCACGGTCGAGGATCGAGCAGCTCAGACGCGGAATAACGGCGTCCCCTTGTCTTGCACTCAGACGTTTCCATCGCTTGTCCGACACATGTTGCTGAGGTATATGATAAAAGCGAAGTCGCAATTCAAATCGCCATGCGCCCAATTGCTGCATGGATTTTTGGCAGCCCTCGGATATCAAGCGGAATCTGCCAAGGCGTAGTGTTGCCAACAACGTGGAGATCCACATCCCGGTCCCGTCAGACGTCGACTCGCCGTCCTTCAAGACGTCGATCGGCACCGTCAGATATATCCCCGATCAGGACCGGAAGGTCCTATGCCTAGGCCTTTCGGATGAGACTCCCAATTCAATTGCCTGGATCCCTGCTTGTGTGCAGGACTGCATAGTCTGGAGCATCAAGCAGTTCCAAGGTTGCAGCCTCGGAAGTGACAGGAGCTCTTCTCCTTGGTACAAGCATCACTCTGAAACTAAGATAGGCATGGCTACTCGAAGCCCTTGGTTGAATGGGCTCTGTGCATGAAAATCAAGTGTTTGTTGTTTGCATTTCAATCGCTGATGTTCTGATAGGTTACTTACTATCCAGTGTTTTTCTATCGCCCAGTCAGGCGCCACTACAGTACATAGTCGTTTGAGTTGATGATGGGATTGTCCTGTTGAGGAGTAGGACGGTAGTAGTAGTCATCATCATCACGATCATCATCACCATATCATCACCATGCTGCCTCATGTTTTGTGGTCGAGGCCACCCTTGTTCAATCTGAGACAATCCTGTATGTACCAGTGGGCACACCACCTCCTTAAGACAGGATTAAACAGAATCAATCCCCAGTGTCCGGCCGGCCAGCGACACTGTCTAATGCACGTCACACGCAGACTCTAGTCACTCTAGTCATAGCCCGCCGCAGCAGTCCTTGCTGCCATAGACGTCCCGGGGGGGGTGGCGCGATACTGGGCCAGGGTGGGTCACCATGCTCGTAGGGATTTATGATGGCTTCAGGGCCTTGTGGCACTCCAGCCAATGGCCCTCCAGCCAAAACGCAGTCCGACCAGCACTCTGGGATGAGTGTGAGGGCATCTTCCGACCCAGAGAAACTATGCGTCGGTGGCAATGCTGGGCCAGAGGTGCCACCACCCTATGAGTAGCAGGCTCTAGGCCACGCTGTTGGCTGGGGTTACACTCCTGCTCGAGAACAACGGACGCGAAGACGGCATCCATTACAGCTTTAAGCAACTTCGTGGCAATGCAGTGTGGAAGCTTGTAGCAGGGGCTTTAAGGTGCGAAAGTTACCAAAGATCGGCGGCTGTTGGTTCCTGCCTACAACCGACGGCAGAAACAAGCATCCGTGTGCTGTTCGTAAGGCATGGCAACAAGTGTGGAGGATCATGCCATGCTCGCACCATTGCAAACGGCTGCTGACAACGCTACTGCAACAGTTTGGCGATGCGCTGTGGCAGCGCCTGATTCGTGTTTCGCTGTACGCCCGTGCAAAACCGTGACTCTTCGTTCGGCGATCAATCATAATCACCATCATCATCACATCATCATCATCATCATCGCCACCATCATCACCAGCAAAACTGTCATGATGATGATTATGATGATCATCATCACCATCATCATCCCCATACTTCTCCACTTTACTTCGTCTAGAAGTTTCCTCCGCTTATGGGCCCGAAGGGGCAGGAGGAGACATAACAACCACCCGGGGCTAGGCATTTTCGGAGGCCAGCCGTGCGCGTCTTGTACGCTGGCAGACATTCTGCTGCTCCACACGCAGCGCGCTTCTGCGGAGAGAGACGAAGATCATCATCGCCATCATCATCGCCATCATCGCCATCATCGCCATCATCATCATCATCATCATCATGATCATCATCATTGTCATCGTCACCAGCATCATCAGCATCGCCGTCAACATCACCATCATCATCACAACCACCACCACCACCACCATCATCATCATCATCATCATCACCATCACCATCATCATCATAATCATCATCATCACATCATCATCATCATCATCATCAACACCAACATCATCACCACCGTCATCACATCATCGCTATGAGCCATGCCAGACGAATGACAATTATTTGCTGCTGTGAGTCTTACTTTGACGATGGGATTGTTGCGATACCGCCACTAGTGACTCACGAATGCTACGGTTGCTTCTGTGGCAAGAAGGATGTGAGAGGATCTCACGCATCTCGCAATTTGGAGAATGCTTTGTGGCCAGGCCCTCTGTGAGCACATATGTGCATCTTTCAGGTCAGAAGGACTTCATTATGACAGCCAATTTCGGACTCCCCTCTGTCGGTGCAGAGAATCGGGATGCCTACATGAAGGCACCAGCTCCTCTCGATTTCGAGTAGGCCACAATTCCGAGACGCTTATCCTTAAGCGGTCTCCAGGCACCAATGTCTGTGAAGTTCGAGATCCCGTACTTCACCGTTTCCGGAGTGACAGTCAGGTGGACCCATCTATTGCTCTTTGATCGAAGTCCATGCTTCCCGATGTGCCAGGTATCTCAAAATTATCGAGAAGTCTGGCTATCAGGCTACATATACTTTTGCATACCTCACTTATACTTATGCACTATTTGTTGGGCCTTGCCGATGAGGCTTGCCGAGGCAAGCTGCATTCTAGAATCGCAGGCGCTCCCCTGGGTGCGCTACATCACCCAGAATGGGGATTACCAGCTTCGTATGGTCTGGCACCAAGTCGCCACGTTCGTCGCCTTGGTGTCACCACGTCATTTCGGAGGTCTAACGGCCGCGAGCTTCGACAATGACCCTGAGCAGCCTGGAGACTCAGCTGCCGTTGCCGCCGTTGCCGCCGCTGCCGCTGCCGTTGCCGCTGTTGTTGTTTCGGTTGTCGAGGCACCATCGCTCTGCAGAGATGGCCGGCTCAATCCTCCTGGGCTCCTCTTGTCCAGAGCACTCTGGAAATCTGGAATGCGTAATTGGCGCATCGGCAACTGCCAAGATCTTTAGCGATCTTTGCAAGTTCTCTGACGGGGCCTGTGCAGAAGGCCTAGATCGGATGGCTCTTTCCTCCAACACGGCTGTTGAAGTCCATTCAGATCAATACACAATGCTGCTGTTAGGGTCGCAAACCTTACCTTGGTCACAGTCACATATTCGATTGAGCAATTCGAGAGCGAGCATGAGCAACAAGCGAAGCAGCTCGAAGGCTTGAACAGCGGAAAAAAAAGCTCTGCGAACTGTCGCATCAGAACTCGTGCCCCAGGATAATCATGCTGCATCCTGCTTCTTGTTCGGGAGGTTGTTCTAAGCTCCTTGTGTGCTACGCGAGGAACACGTTAAAATCTTCGAGTTCCTGGACCACGACAAGAATGGCCATGTACTCAGATTCGAGTGCTTCTACAAGGAGGCGGAGCCAGAGGAGTGGGTGGTCCGAGGTGTTGTGTCGCTGGAGGAGTTTCATACGGCCGTGGAGGCCGCTGCGCCGGTGAAATCCCTCGAGGCAGGCCGAGAAAGCGAAGGGAAGCCGAGCGAAGGGGGCCTTCCCAGAGAGAGCCTCTCTCGCGATGTCTCTTCCCTGAGGATTTGCGTCGGAAGTGGATCGCTCTCGGCTACACCTCCATGAGACAGGTCGAGCGCACTGCCCCGCTTGCGGCAGAGACCGGAACGTAGTTTGAGAGGCTTTGTTGGGCATGGACCTGCATAAGGAGCCTGGCAGGCAATGTGCCTGCTTTTCCAGAGAGGGCCCTTTAAATGCCCTTGTCGAGTGCACATCCGACAGATCCTTTACCCTGGCAGAGTTTGGGGCGCACCTCGCCCGAGTAGGAGCAGAGAGTTGTTCCCACGGACATGTCACACAAACACACACAGCATGCGCGCAGGAATTGAAGAGGAGATAGAGCATCAGGCAGTGCTTGCATGATCTTGCATGATTGCTCGGAAAGCAGTCGACATTTCTGCAGCGTCAGAACATCTTCGGGGCAATCCGAGACCCTCACAGCTCACACCAGACTGTGCCGCGCTCATGCTGTGATGTACCATCCCTCCATTTCCTGGCAGTTCTTAGAACACGCCTTCCCGAGGTAACGCTGGAAATGCTGGCGGCAGCAATGAGTGCCATTTCGCCTTCCTTGCTGTTGGAGGCGTGCAGTCCGGAGCACACAAGCTAGCCCCCCATGTTTTCAGAAGGACCTACGCGACAAGATCCTCAAGAAGTTTGGGCTTCGCATCCAGCTATTTGTGAAGCTGAGCTCCGTGCCCCAACCAAACGGCCAAATTCCTTGAGGACGCTCTCCAACTGTTTCGCAGCGCTTGACATGGATCAGGGCGACAGAGGCTTAGCTCCGGCACCCGACATGGCAGTGATTGTTGGCCCAGAGCTGCTTGTGTCGGCCCCAGAGCTGCGACTGAGGAGTCTTTGGACATCGGGGAATTCATCCGCTATGCCGTTCCTGCATGGAAGTGCTCGCCTGGGCTTTCCTGGGATTACCTAAAAAAACTGGTGGGAAAGTGCCGTTCAGGTTGACGGCTCACGAGGCAGGCAAGGCTTTCCGGCTGATCGACGTCGACGGCAGCCTCCAAATAAGGCCAAGTAGCAATGTGCTGCATCATGCTGCGTGTGCTGCACGTGCTTGGGGGTGCGAAGCTTGTCAGTAAAGACGAGTTCGTCACCGCACTAACGCTTTCAGAGCCGCCATCTTAGCTCTCCATCCCCTGCCCGGGGGTGTTGCATGCCGGCTCTTGCACTACCAGGCCAAACCTCTATCTGGATGAGATTCGTCGCAAAGTTCGCCAGCGTTTCCGGAGTGCGCCCACCAGAAGACCCCTTTCCAGCTTCTGTTTCAGATCAGGCCTTGACAAGAGGGCTTGACTACTGTCCTCCCTAAGTGCCAAAGGCTTGGTTGGGGCTGAGGGTGAGCGGTTTCGGTGCAGCAACATGGCGACTGGTCTGGCCTGGTGCCTAAGACAGACGGTGCATCGTCTTTGCATTGTATGTGCGGTATGATGTCGAGATCGCGGATAGCTAGCTAACGCCCGTCACAGGTATGCGAGGGCTGCTTAACGAGGGCAACGAGGACGACATCGAAGTTGATGAGGCACTTCACCGCCAATGCTTTTCGATCACATCCCCTCCACCTGCTGTACTGGCCGGGGGGAATTCGGCCATTGATCCTCAGCAATCGAGAATCTTTTGCACGGTAACTGAATAACTCCTCTAGCCCTCTAGCTTCTGCTTGGCTCTTCAGCATCTTCCCAGCTACCACAGGTACTCCACCGCAACCCTTGTATGCCGCGGGTTCGCTAACCTATGTTGGCTCGGTTCATCGGATGCCAACCCCGAAGTAGGTTGAAAGGACAACGTACTCCCACGGTTCGCTGTGACACGAGCTATTGCACAGGGACGAAGTGGTTGCCACGGGACCCACTAAACTATTTCTAAGCTGGGCCAAGCCCGTGCACTTGCCTGCGCGATGCCAGGCTGGAAGGTGTAGTGAGTTTAGTGCTGAGCGTGGTCCGCCGGTTTCGTGAAGTGTTGTGCATTGCCAACTCCGTCGGTGTGCAGGCTTTCTCGGTTTACGACGTGCAACAATCATGATAGCTACCGTGCGAATTAAGCCTACAGCGCCTTTTGGTGATGATCTGCAATGCGCAACTCTGCCAAAGCCACACCCTCGCCTCGTCTGAGCTGCAGAACCCTCCTTGTTTTGCGAGCCTGACGATTGGCTTGGCAGCAGTGCCGGGCTGTGCTTGGGGCTTCGCGAGATCTTAACGTCGCTTGCGATCTTTTGCGCATCGCTTCCAGAGCCACCCAGAACACGGCAGAAGACCATACCTTTGGGAGCAGATGGGATGCCTGGCAGTCCAAGTGCTGTGGAGGATTTGAAGCCGCCTCCACCTCCACCGGCTGTGGAGATCGCACCCTCCAGGCCTGTCCGTGGGCTGCAAAGAGCGCGATTGACCTGGCTGCAAAGGAAAGGGTCTCTCTATCAGAGGCATTCCATCGTGGTCCAGGCCAGGAGGTGTTCGCAGCTGCGCAGCAGGCATCCCGCCCTTCTGGAGAGGACTCCCCCCGCAGCGACGGCAATGGCGGGATGACAGCAGAAGAGTAGGGAACTAAGAACTACTAGGGTGACGGGGGCGTGCAGCGCTTAGTAGGGGGCATGTATACACATGCACAGCGCGATGTCCTTGTTTCCTGCCTGTGCCCAGATCCCGGCGGGCCGGCCGCCGAGCGAACTGAAAGTGAGATCGTTGAGTTTTGGTTTTGGAAGGCAGCTGGTTTTGTCCCTGGAGGCTTCCTGGATCGCGAAGCATTCGGGTCTCGGTGCCGAGAAGGCGCAAGACCTTCTCAAGGCGCACTGCAGATTGTGGGGGGGGGGGGGGGGGGACAAAATTCCCACGGCCGAAGTTGAGTTGAGGCTCTCAAGTGGTTCTGCCGAGGACCTGGTCGGACCTGCCTCTGAAAGCGAAGATGATGGCCGGAGGCCCAGCTGGCACAGAGCATCACAGAGCCAAAAGGCTGCGGGGCGGTGCTGGACGGTGCGGGGCAGCTGTCAGTGATGCCGTCTCTCCGAGGCCGCACGCCCGAGGAGTATCAAGAAATGCTCGGACAGGCCCTCCGGCGCTTCAGCCCATGTCGCTAACGGACTCTTGCCGTGGGCACCATGTGGGCAACGGAGCTATCCTACTGGAGCTGGCCTCCGAAGATTCCGAAGCACGGAGAGAGAGCAGGTTTCAAGTGGACCATCGAGAAAATCAAGAGCTAGCAGACTCCATCCCAGCATCCCTCCGGGCAGTACCGCTTCAGAACAACGACTCAAGAGAGGATCCGGAAGTAAGAGCGAGAAGCAGCAGAATCGCTGACCCAGAATCGCATTGTGTCCCCAATTTCACAGGTGCAGCTATCCGAGCAAGACACGAAAGCACTCTTTAACCTCATGGACGTGAACCGGGACGGCAAGGTACGAAGAAGAGCATTTACAGTTGGTGAGCTCGAGCTTGCTGCAAGAAGAAGTTGCGGTGCTTTTGCCACGTCCGCAGCTGACAACGACGGAGTTCGAGCACGGCGTGCGGCTCTTCGCCCCCTCCACTGCGCTGGAGGCGGATCGGAGCGGTCGGAGCCGAGAAGCAAACAAGAAGCGGACAACAATCAGAGAGCACATCTAGGGGGAGCTTTCGCAGCTGTTGCCAAAAGGACCTCCGCCTGGCCTGCATCTCGTGCCCTTGCCGCATCATGGGAGGAGGCGAGACGAGTCTGTGAAGAGCTTGCCGAGGAACTACGGAGGCATCCCCGAGGCCTTCGCATCCCTCCGCCCGGAACAGCGGGAGGTGGGGAAGGGACGGGAGGGGAGAATCCTAGAACGCCCGCCGATGTTTCAAATTTAAGGCCAGTTTGGAGTATCACCAGCTCAAGAAGATACTGGAGGAAAGCTGCTCTGCCTGTGTGTGCTAGACATCTGTTGCGCCCGTGTTTGTAGAGAGCTCACGCGGAAGGGGCTGCGGAAGGGGAGGCGTGACATCACAGTTGGAAGGATATTCGAATATGGGATGAGGGCACCGGTGATCTGCGATTGATCATGGACATCGTGGAGTCACGGCCTTACAGGACAAAGCCTGCAAGAGCCGAGAATGCCGCTGTTAGCTTGCAAAGGTGCACCAGAGACGGTGGGACCAGCATCGGCCGTCCTGGCAGAAGTTTGCAAGCGGCAGTCGTTCTTTCTCAGTCCATGTCTCTGCTAGGTGAACTTATGGCAGCCCTCCAAGCTGGGCAGTCCGGAACACAGGCCGATCGATATCCTGGGTGTCCATGTTTCTTCTCTTAGGCGCAGGCACAGCGCCACGTTTAGCTCATGTTGTTTCCTGGACATTTTGGTCTAAGCAGTGAGACACCGACTGCATTGAAGAGTTTGAGTTGGGTTGCCGACTGACGTTGGCAGCCAACAGATAGCCGGCAGGTTTTCTGCTGGTCGACCGGTATTTAGTTACTGTCCAGATGTCTGTGCAGCATCACAGAAAGCAGGAGAAGCGTCATGCCAATCGGAGAAAGCGAAAGCGCACGGACATCAAAAGCGTTGAAGCACGAAAGTCACTAAAACATAATGTCCTTGGGACACCATCGCAAGCTTGTAGATTTAACCCTGCCTCCAACTATGCTTTTGTTGCCCTTAGCAGTTTCTTTATGCGACCTGATTGGGCTCAAGTCCCCAGCGTACAAAAGGTCCGCACAGGGTTGACTTAGCGGTAACTAGCTGCCGTTTAGTTGTCATATCTGAAACTTCAGGTTATCAGCCGTAGTTTGCTCTGATGGCTTAGGTTCTTATTGATGGTACGGCCACTGCTAGAAATCCAGCAGCGAACGAGCCGACCACGAAACCAGCATTTTGAACTATTTCCTGCAGCTCGGTGAATGTCTTTGTGACAGCCCTGCTTTGGAGATCGCTAGAGACTCGCGCAGACGCGTTGCGCGAGAGCAGGTTGTCACTTGTTCGGGAAAGCACGGAAGTCTTGGTGGCGCAACTCAAAAGCGAGGTGAATGCAGACAGGTCCCAACCCAACAGTTTCAGGCTAGGCTGGTGCGCTGCGAGGCAGAGTTCGAACCGTCAGCAGCTCATCGAATATCTATTTGGTCGATCAGAACGGGAACTTAAAGCTGCAGGCCGAGTCACTAAGGTTAGAGTTTGCCGAGCAGCGAAAGAGGCCAGCGCAAGTTGGAGCCACGCTGGTGGGAGGTATTGGTCCAGTGACTGAGAATGCCGCGCAAGATCCAAGCCCACCGTAAGGTGGTGTCACATCGTTTGGTGTTGCAGTTCAGATTCAGCGTCAAAGGAGTACATGGGTTCCAACGTTGCCCGATGCCTGCGGGATTTTCAAGCAACTTATGGAGATTCTAGGCAAGCCTCAAACGTACAACATTGGTGATGGGGCTAGTGAGACGAAGGACCCAAATTCCGACACATCGGCCCAAAGTACTAGTGAAAGCGACAACCGGGCCAAGCTAGCGAGATCCTGGCTAATGCCTTGAAGACAGTGCTCGGAAAACGCGATGAGGATAAGCCCAAAGCTAAAGACCGGTCAAGCTTCTTGACTTTCCATCCCAGAGACTTACAAATCATGGGAGATCCCAGTCCGCGAGGCGATGCGAGCGGCTTCAGAAAAGCTAGATGAGGCTTTCAAGGGGGTGCAAAAAGTCTGCGAACGAACAGCCAATGTTGAGACCTTTCGTGAAGCCGGTAAGTTCCTCACTTTGGATGCAAAGATCTTGGCCGTGCTACCCCGACGAGCTCGCTAGACACAGCATCAATTATATACAAGGAATCAGAGGCTTCCGCAGGAGAAGGGCAGCTCGGGTTAGGCAAGCTTTGTTGAAGACGCTTAAAAGAACGTTTGTTAAGGGTCGATTTGACGGAGATGATCTCAGTCGTGCTTGCCGGTTTGAACCCTCAGCCCGAGGAAACAACCTTGAGGGACATTCTTCTTCGCGAACTTCGGAAATCGGGGAGGTTGAAGTTCGATTTGGAGGTCTACGACCACAAGGAGGGAAGTGAGCAACACACGTACGAGTATCTGCTGAAGTGTGTGAAGGAGTTGCGAACCAGTGAAAAGACCAGGCGCAATGGGACTGCAATTACCAAGGCCCATGGCGCTCGTTATGGCACCCCTGCACCCTCAACAGATACCACAGGAACTCCAAGGACTCCTTGAGGCCGTGAGCAGAAGAACCGCGATGTACATTTCAGCGTGGTAAATGCCCGAAAGGATGATGATGATGATGATGTCATCCAAAAGATGGCTAATGCGATTCCTCCAATTCTACGGGTTGAAGTCCGCCAATTGCAAAAAGCCGGTTGTACTGCTGTCGGTGGGAATCCTGCCACCATCGTAACGCACTTCCCCAAGACCTTTCGGGCTCCTGCACCAAAATCCCCAGAGCATCGTATTCGTACGACTTGCGGATTCAGGGATGATGAATGCAGGATCTTGGAGGATTCAGTGAATATCAATGAGCTCCAGAGCATGTATGGGGAATTTACCGGAGGTATGAGTGCGATTATTGCTATATTTGCAGGAAGCATCGTTGAGGGCGGAAGCAGTCTCCATTCAGCACATGCTCACCCATGGGCTAAAGAGCTTGTTTTGTCCCCTTTTGCCAGCATGCCAAGATGTATACTCTTCAAGCCATTGCTGTTGGCCACATTGTCATCCGACATGCCACGAACTATCCGACATGCCACGAACTACGGGCCTCAGGACGAAGCCGTGGCCCATCTGGTGAAAGATGTATTTACGAAGTTTAAGCACGTGTACCCTTGAGCCACAAAGTCCGGAGAATTTCTCAGTGTTGATGATGAAGTCAAGGTCTTGTACTCCGACAAGGCTCTTGAATTCGACTATGCCGCTACACAGTTGCGTGCCCGCCACAACAGCTCTAGGCAACGTTTGGACGAAAGCAAAGCCGTGCTAACCTAGTTCAGTCTGGTCTACCTGATCGATACTGGCTCTAGCAGCGCAACATCACTTTACATGCCTGAATATATCTATGAGACTAGACAATGGTCAGGTATCATGGGAGCTTAGATTTGCAGAGAAGTTCAGTGGCAATCGCACCCCATTTGGAGACAAAGTCCTTTATTGGGCACCCCCGAATCAGAAGACGCCTCAGAGATCTAAGTTCGCTGGCACTGGCGTCGAAGGAACATTCCTCGGCTGTCACATCAGCCGGAATTTGTCTTTAAGGCAGAGCATCTTGTGGCACCATTGGACAACATCCAAAATGCCCTGGATATCGATACATTCCTTCAAGATTCCGCCCGTGACACCGAGTCGAAGCCTGATTCTCGTGCCTCATTGCTTGATGATGTTCCTTTTTCGATTACGCAGAACCTCAAGTTGAAGGCCACTGTTGCAGTGCCCGAATCTCCTCATGGTTATGTTGGGAACGGAGAATGTCCTATTAAAAGGAAATGCAAAAACCGACCAGACTTTAGCGATCATACATCATGGAGGAACATCTGAAAAAGACGCAGGGCTGAAGTTCTGGTTGAACACGACAGAAGGGTTCAGGCGAAGTGCGAGGCGGAGTGCGAGGAGGCTGCGAAAGGCGGTCCCCGCAATTTCTGCCTGGAACGGTAGAAACGGAGAACACTGAGAAAAGCTTAAGAACCTAAACAATCAGAAGCTCCCTGAGGTTCCCAATGACATGTACGCCGTCGTCACTAAAGCTTTTTCGTTCAACGAGGTTGCTATGACCCCCGCACCGCAGCATTGGACAAGGAATGGCAGAAGCTCGTCGACAAAGGCTGTTGGGTCGAAAAGAAGGCTAGGGCTGCTAAGGGATATGAGTCGGTGACCTCTGACGCCAAACAGAGCAACGAAGAGGTTCACTTCGGCACCATGTTCGACATTGGCACTGTCAAGGGCGCCGAGCCCAAGGACGGAGACCCCAACAAGAAGTGTTAGGGCCGGTCGGTGTTCGAGGACAACAATGCGCGAGAGTTTTTCTGTTCTTTTCACGGAGATGTCTAACAGCCCTGCATCTATGGAGGCTGGTAAGATTCTAACGTTTTCGGTTCCCAGCCTATGTGACCCGTGCCAGCAGTGCCAGGCCGTGGTCGCAGAGGGTTTCCTGCCTTCGCTGTCAAGCTCCCCAGACCGATGACAGTGCGAAAGCCACGAAGCGATTGTTAGAAACCCAGAAGCTTCGCAAGCGCATGTTGGCCACGGCAGCTGCAGGATCCCGCAAACCCTCTGACGGGCTGATTACAGGGACGCACAAGACCGGGTGGCTCGCAGCACCAAGCTGAAGTATCCATGTGTGGCAGCTCGGTGGAAGGAGGACGATCAATTCCAGAGGCGTATGATCAATGAAGGCCGGTCCCAGGAAGACATGACGTTTGGCGAACAGAAGAGCAACGCCGTCTTCGTGCGGGATCGCATTACCAGCAACCTGAATGCTGGTGTCCCGCTTGGCAGGCGGCAGGCTTGTCTTCCATGCCCACCGTGCAGTGGAGCCGATGCACAGTCTCACAATGATTCATAAGCTGTGCAATTTCCCCATCTGAGTGCATTCATCCCGCCTCGCCTCTACGAGAAAAGCTTGCCATGGTAACCCCCGAGGCTCGCCGAGTCCTTGCAGTTGACGGTGGCCACAAGTGCAGATGAGCTCATCACTGAAATCGCCCAAATCATCCGCGACAGGGGGCGTAACAGTAGCGCAGAGTTCCGACATGCACGTACGGAGCGGCTAGCAGAGCGGAATAGGCAGGTTGCGGCGCACAATCAGGGGAATCCTCCCAAAAGGGACCCCGATGTCTTCTTCCCGTGTGGTGCGTTGTGACCCTTGCTTTCATTTTCTGGGTGATGTCGCTGATCTTTCAGCAGGCAGCCTGTGACGTTGTTGGGGCGTTCCCGACAACTCTTCGCGAGTTGAGCATCAGGCATGTTTCATTGCGTCGTCAAATGACCCGGTACAAGGTTTGAGGTCAGGAGCTTGCGATGCACCTTGAACCTCAACCAGAAACTTCAGGCAGGACGAATTTCCTTATTTCGGCCGCCCGAGGCAAGTCAGTTCTTATCCGCGGCAGCCAGGCTTTGAAGCGCAGCACTCGCTGGGCTATGTTTTGGAGGATGCACTTGTCTATTCCGTGAAGACCATGCCAGTCCAACCTTCACCAAGACCTGGGGTGATGATCAGGAGGCTGAGCGGTCCTGGTGGGCGGATGAGTCTGTCTTGCCCACAACAACGCTCCGAGTGCCTGCAGGATCCTGGGTACGAGATGGTTTGCAGCCCATCCACGTGAGCACAGCCGGGCTGGTCGTCGTCACCGACAGTTCCCCAACAAAAGTTTTATGGACGTGAGCCAGCTGCGAGACGCGCTTCGTCGAGGTTTCTGGAACATAACTTCAGCAGGTCGCCAAAGGCAAGGAAGCGCCGGCTGTGAAATTTGCGGAGCAGGACGAGCTGCTGGGCCAGGCCGTGGATGGCAACGATCCGGATTCCTTTTAAGTTTGCCGCAACCCTCGGATGGCACCACCATCAGGCATCTTGGGGTGTGAACGTGACCCGCACGCCCGCAGTCACCGTACACCTGAGCCCCGTTTCAGCAGTGCACTCCTGCCGATGCGGTTTTTTTCGCCCGCGATGCGCGACAAACTGGCGAGCTAGTGCGGCGAGTTGACCAGGCGAGTCAACAGGCCTTGTTGAAGCTAGCCGCCAGCGTGTTGGTGACGTTCTTTTCTCGTGAATGAGCAGCAGCAGCCAACCTCTCCTCTTTTCATTGATGCAACAAAAGAATGAGCTCTTGTACCTCGCGGCCTCCTTCTTCTGAAGTCTTCAGCCAACCAGGGTGCTGTGGAAAAGGTAGACCCCCGGCATGCGCTTCCGTTGCTGGCTTCGCGGAGTCGTAGAGTTATGTCGTTCTCATAAGCTATTTTCTAGGACTTGTCAGCAATAATAAATAATTAGAATAAATTAGAAGCAGCCAGAAGGCTCCTTGGCCGAATTAAGAAGTAAATCAGAATCCAAGTCAGAAAAAAAACCACGAAACCAATCGCAAGAAGACCTATAACCAAAGCACGGCAGCCAAAGCTTGAGTGGCGGAAGCGGCGGCGGCAGTGTGTGTGTGTGTGCAGCAGCAGGCTGAACTCTTGCATCAGACAGAAGCCCTGGCAGTGGAAGTGGCGGATGCCTACAGGATACCTAGCTGCTCTTCTGACGACACCGGAGGAAACTGCTCAACTGTGCACTCCAGCCAATCCAGTGTTACTATACCGAAGTCTCCTCAGACATCAGACGTCCTGCAGCTGTACGTGGGACTTTTCGCGACGTCCTGCCAACGGATGTGCAATTTGTTTCTAATTATTTTCCAATATTTTATTTTTCCTGGGATTCATAGGAATAGCTCACAGGGAACGACATAATCGTAGAGTTCACCTATGCGCAAAATGTAAACCCTTTATTCTGGTTCTTAGGGTTTGATTTCGATAGTCCCAAAGCACCATAAGCCTACAAAATCATAACCAGAAACCTTCAATCTCAGATTTCAGCCCTCGAGGAGCAACTCCCTCCGGACAGCGGCGCTAGATTGTTTAGCCTTCTGACAAAAAAAGAGCAAGGTCTTATCAATTTGGGACCCTTACGCAACAAGCTCGCTGCAGTTGCTTCTCCTCCCGGTTGTCGTTGACAGCTATTGTGGCCCACTGGCAGTACCCTCCTTCACCCTCTGGACTGTTGCTTTTTTCGACTATTGATGTTCAGTGTTGCCCGCCCGAACAAATCATCACAACGGTCGCCTTAGAGAAATCTGAAGTTGGAACAGAGGCGAATCCGCGAGGACACCTCGAGATGTCCCGGGGATCGTAGCGGAGCTTTCCGTTGTGGCAGCGTCAGTTGACAAATGGGTGCGGTTTGGTCCGTTTGATAGAAGCCCACCCAAAACAGGTTAAGGTTGTGGGAGGTCATGGCACTGGAAATTGACATTGCGCTCAGGATGTCAATTGTATGAAGCTTGCGATGCTTTCAACACGTTTCGAAGTGGCCGGCTTTAATCCTGTGCATGGGACAGCACAGCTGCGCCTTCGACATGTTCCAACATGCGATGGCTCCCGAGAGATGGCCACCACAGGGTGACTCTAATAATCTTAAGACTTTTTCGTGCTCACTACTGCCGCAACATCGAAGCCACACCGAGGCTAAATGTCTGAAACTATCGGCCCGTCGGCTTTGAGCACGTCTTTGGTGAGAGGAGAGCGCAAGAGTGACCCCGGAATCCCAAAGCGCTCCTGAAAGGTTCGGCTCCCGGCGGAGCAGCGTGATGCTAAAGTGCGGCAGCAGGCAAAGCTCGGCTTCACTGAAGAATGCAGAAAGCATTTTTGATTACGGTGTGAAGGTGAAGTGGCAGATGGCACCTTTCCGTCGATGTGCTTCTGATCTGCGCGCCCATGGCTTCATGCTCAGGTTGCCAAGCTCATCATTCTTGTGACCTTGCACAGAAGCCTTGCGCTTTCAAAGTGTTCCTTTCAGTTGTGAAGCCGCGGAGGACAATGAGTTACAAAAGCGAGTATATCTGAGAGGAAGGGGAAGTAATTGACGGGATCTCTTGAGGTGACGGCGTCTCTCAGTGTAACGACGACAGGGGCGTGCATGAAACAGGGGAGCCTGAAGCGCCGGAATCGCGAGAGCCGAGAAAGCCGGGTGAACTGGTGGACCTAGAGCGGTTTCCGGATTCGCAGTGTAGCGGCTCGCTCAGTTCGGGAGAAGCTGAATGCCCACGAGTTGGAGCAGATGTGGAATCCCAGGCAAGGCTGGTAGGGACAGGAGTCTGCTGCACGTCACGCGATGTCACACGCACGCCAGGTCTCAGGAATCGCATGCAGCGGACAAGAGCAAAAGTGCAGCGTTGCGTGCAGAAACTCAGACCGCCATCCACAAGTGGAAGAGGCTGCCGTCATGCTGTCATGTTGCTGTAAGCAGTTTACAAGCTGCTATTACGTGTCGAGCGCACTCGCTGCGCCACTTGGGGTGTCTGCAGGGATAAGAGTCTGCCCGCCTTGCGGCGCATCGAAAGGGCCTCGGATCCTGCGTCTCTTGCATCACGCACAGCCGCACAGAGCGAACAGGATCATGAGGGTCAAGACCCTTCCTGGGCCGGGTTGCGAGCCGAGATGCGCATTTGATGCGGCACGTGGTGCTTGCATGTGCTTGCTGCGTGGCCGTCCCGTCCTGGCTGAGGTTGTCCATAGCTGCCGAGGACACTGGCATGTTGGATTTCATAAGAAGGAATGCCGAGTGAGATTTCAGGAGGAGCTTTCGAGCAACACCATTCCGTGGGGCCCCATGCGCACGAGCTTCTCCAAGGTGTCCCTTACCCGCTCGTTTCTCTCCGCTAGTCTGTTTGGTCGGGAGACGAGCTTTTTTCTCTGCTGCCGACGGCTGCAGGTTTCGGGGTTCCGCCGGGCCTGTGTTGAGCTCGCACAGCCTGTCAGCTGTCAGCGCCTGGGATGCGACAGCCAGGTTTCTGAAGACTTTGGACACCAAGGAGCCAGGGACTTTGGTTCGATTTTTCTTCTGCTCAAGTCCATTGCTCTAAGGCTCAGGCCCATCATCAATTCCATGCACCACTACTACGCCACTGCAGGCCTTTCTCTCCGACTACATCCTGTGTTCACGCCTGCATGCCGGCATGAGCAGGAGAGACGGTGACGAGCCGTGAGGCTTTTCTGTGGCTGGCCCGAGCTGCGGTTGGTGTTCTGAAGTTGAGGCGAAGAGTTTCGATCGCTCAGGAACAAGCAGCAAAGCAGGTACGAGCAGTTCAAGAGCTGTCCGCTTCACAGACATTTGCGGTGTTGTGGCCTCTCGAAGCATTACTGCCTCTGTTCAGATAGGTACACACCATTACAAGCTCCTGACGCGACAGCCTGGAGGAACCTGAGTGCACGCGACAAAGAAGTCGCTTCAAAAACCTGTTGGAAGATCCGGAGTAGATTCTGTGTTGTGCCAGACCAGATGGAGTTGCAAGAAGCAAGCTTTGTCGATAAGACCGCAAAAGAAGCGAAAAGCAAGCCTTCTCGAATCGTCTCACAGCTTCGCGAGCCGCGCCGTCGGCCGTTCCGAAGACGGTCCTTGCGTACAGGGAAGCGGGTGTCTTCATGTAGTCTTTCGCCACCGGTCGTGCAGTGTTCACGGATTTCGCCGTGCCCTGCCCAAGGCAGCCCGAAGTGCCCCCAGGCGCCATCTCAAAGGGATGTGCGTTTTGAGGTCTCAGCACACATCCTGTCAGCAGATTGCGAGGGGCCAGAATGTGGAAGAAGAGTTGCGAGATTTCTGGCTATGAGATGCTTTACCCTCCCACGTCCTTTTGCATCCGAGGAGACACGTGTTCCTGGAAGTAGCCCTGACACAGTCTCTTTTCTTCGTTCAAAGAAAGTCATAAGGGTAAGGGCAATGCGGCAATGCAGAGAATCGAAGGACTCCGAGGTCCGCAAAGGTCGTTTGTATTGAGCCCCAAGCTCTAAGTAGAGCCGAGTGCTTCTGCGGCCGACAGAAGACCTTTCGGCTCCTGCAGCCCGGAGACCAGAGGACAGGAGCGCGTCGGAGCTCCGAAAGCCGCTGTCACGAGCCATGACGACAGCGCACCGGCCGACATGGCGCGGAGCCCAGTGCAGAGAGGGCGCACATCCGAAGCTGGGGTGGTGAGGCGAGCGATGCCGAGCGGGTGGAGGCTTCAGGTTGAAGGTGTTCGGGGGTGAGATGCGAAGGGCGAAGAGCAAAGAGAGGGCAGAGTGGGAAGAGACCAATTCCCATTGTGGCCGAAGAGTGAAGATGGGTGTAGGCGCCGTGGGCGTGAGACTTCGCGGTTGACCATCTTAGGTTTTGCTTTGCGTAAAGTCTCGTGCCTGCTTCACACCAGGAATGCGGCGATCGCCAGCAACAGCAACCCAGGTCCAAGTCTTGAGGGGAAGCTTGTGGACCGCATGCAGTGCCGGGTGTCGCGGTTCGTGACCTAGGTGGCAACATGATGGTTGCGCAGACAACGAAAGTCTTTCACCTCAGATGCTTTAACACAGATGGCATCACGAAGATGAAGAGCCTCCCGTCGGTTTCTGGCAGCGCTTGCGTGATACACAGCTCTGTCTGCCAAGATCAACAACAGAGATGCGGCCACCTTCAAGAAGATGAAATTCCGGCAGGCAATTTCCAGTTGTGTGGCAAATGCGTCACTTCAGTTTACAGTTGCTGCGAAATGAGAAGTTGTGCTTCAGCTGCACGTTGAGGGAATCTGCTAAATTCGTTATGAGGCTGGCCAGGGTCTTCTCGAAGATCGTGGTTCCAGGGCAGATCTCACAGAGGACAGAACCTGCAAGCTAGAACGGGCCGTGCGCGAATCATCGCGAGCATGATAAGCTTCCGCTAAATCTTTGCATCCACCTGTACCTGCGGTTTCCATTTGGCCAGGACCTGGAGCGAAGAGAGAAGGCAGCCAAGGATGAGCGAGAAGGGAGAATTAAGGAGCGCGTCTCTTCCACAAGCACGCTTTTGCGAGGGCGTCTTGAAGGACTTAGACACACAGTTCAATGCAGCCGGTATGCGCAACTTCAGGAGAGGAAACGGCCATCCCTAGAAGACAATCCCTTCCCTGAGGCGCGAGTGTCCCGGGCTAACTTTTGCCGGCTGATTGCTGGCCAGGAAGCATGTTCCTGGGTGGGCTTGCCATCAGGATGCCGACGAGGAACTCCCTAGTGAGGACGAGAAGGACAGTGAGCAGTCGCTGCGTGCCAGCTCAGAATTCGCTGTTTCGGCATCAAAAGGAGAAAGAGGCAGAAAATGAAGGCTTGATCCTGAGCGGCCCTAGCTTTGTGCCTGGACGCTGCTTGCGTGCCTGTCAAGATGAAGATGATGACGACGACGATGACGATGCAGAGGCATCCGGTGGGACATCGGCTGTTCTGATTTAGGTCATGAAGGGGCCTGTCAATTTCAAGCTGGAGCACCATTTCAGATACTGGCAGACCTTCAGACGCTCAAGCCACGCCGACGCTTTAGGGTTCAGCTTAATTGGTGTATTCAGGATGCGAATTGTTGGGATTTAGGGTTTAGGCCCTTTGAGCATCGGATTTCCGGTCTTCCAAGGGTGGAGCTTCGTAGATAGACAACTACTTATTGCCTCGAGGGTGTAGAGTTGGCTTCGCGGGTTCCGCGCATGCCGTGCCAAGCATGTGTTGTGGCACGGGCTGACGTGCGGTGTTGCCGAATCTGCCCACTGCCACATCTCTACCTTCGGTGGGTTTAGGGCAAAAGCCACGAGAGCCAAGACCAAAGACTGGGATCTGTGCTTCTGAACAGACGGAGGTTGCTCATCTTTCAGTAGCTTTTCCAATGCGACAGGACTGTGTCTGCTAGCCTCCCAACTGGGAGACAAACCGCAAACAACAGACTTCATTACACAGGCTCTGGCTTTCTGGTCATCGCAGCCTTCCAAACCTTAAACTGCGGGGGAGAACCCGCAAAGCCGCAACATGGCTCATGAAGACCGGCAATATGGCCGCTCTTTTGAAAGGCCCTGTCCAGGATCCCTGTATTTTCTGGCTTTCTCACGGTCGCAGCCACAGCATGCTTTTGCCAGGACCAATGCATTTTTTGCATTTCCGGGGCCGGGATAAACTGTCCAGAAACTGTTTGGCAATTTTGGGTTCGCAGCACGACAACGAAACCTGGACATTCACAGACTGCAGTACAGCCTGGAAAGATCTTCGGATTCAGGAACTGATGAGGGAGTTGGCGAAGATCAAGAAGGAGAGGGAGGAAGAGGAGGAGGCCAAGAAGGTGCGGCTGAGCGCGCAGAGGCCTTTAGTTTGAGGTGAAGTGATGAAGTGACGTTCTTGTGAGGCCCTTCAAGCCAAGCAGGACAAGCGGGCGCAGAGAGCCTAGCCCTCAATAACAGACTTGGAGAGATCGCAGGAAGCAAATTCGAAGAGATTTTCAGGATGAGATCATGAAGGGAAACCCTCTTCTTGCAGAAGGCTCTGACGTCTCGCTGAAGAGGCCTAGGGCCTAGGGCCGACAGGTAGGACGGTGCCGGGGCCGGTGCTTTGCGCAAGCCTGAACGAGGCGCTGGGATGACGACACCGTCTTCAAGAATCAGGAGCGGGCGGAGAGGACTTTCCGTTCCGTTCGCGCCTCCCGAGCTTGGGGGCCAGCCTTCCCGGGGCGAGACGCTTCAGGCGCGCACCGCGCCGAAAGTCAAGCAACGCTACATCAACGACGCCGTGAAGCTCTCAGCCAGCTCGGCGATGCTCGGCCCCAGCCACAATCCCCCATCTTCTCAGCGTCCTCACAGGTCCGCAGTGACTTCCACAAAAAGTTCTTGAGCCCGGCGCCCTACACTTCTTTGCGACCCATGTCCCGCGACCGCGACAACAGCTGAGGCAAGTATGTTTGGGTGGATGGTGTGGCACACTGAGATCCACTCCGTGTCCACTCCTGGCATCCTCGAAACATATTCTCGAAACATAGATACACAAGACTTACTCCCAAGCAGCTCAAGAGCTCAGCTGTCCTGCGGTTATGCTGGCGGCACGCCAACCTGGCACAGAGCATTGTAGCCTGGAGATCTGTCGCAGCCTGGACACGGGGCTGCAAACTACAATCTCCTCACTCTGCCGAAGAGCGCAGAGCCCACGAGCCGACGAGCCGACCGCGCGGTCGCGCACTCGAGAAACGAGCACGGGCCCTTGGCATGGGTCTCTGATCGCTGAGCTGTGCATGGAGTCATGGAGGGTGCTTTGCCGTCCTTTCCGCAGAGAGCTTTCCCGCCGAAGGGTTTAGGCAGGCAGGGGGAGGCCGGAGGGCCCCCGAAGTGCGGCCGCACCTGCCTTGGTGGAACGGAGTTGAATTCAGGCTCTCTTTCGCTTGCGGACCACAGGCCATGTCGCAACGGCTCGTGTTCGCCTATGGCGACAAGAGAGCCCAGCACACAGCCTCACAGTCTTCTACACGTTGGGGTCTTCCTGTCACGTGACTGCGACTGTGTTGCAGGTCATGGCACGGGGATCCGGTGCGGATGCCGTTGTGCTCAGTTCAAGCTAGTTACAGCTGATTCGGAAGATCAGAAGTTCGCAAGCTGCCTGTTTACTTGATGTGAGCGGCCGTTGCACGAGCCTCCAGATTCTTCAGTGCCTTTCAATGTCTTCGGGATTAGGCCGTGCGATCGATCAAGAACCTAGAAGCTTTCTTCCAGGACGGTGTATGAAGAGCAGCCTTTGTGTTGGTTCTGTGTAGTTTCGCTCATGAGTGTCTCGACACCAGGACGCCGAAGAGAAGCTGGGATTGCCTGAAGGCTTCAAGATCCCGTGTGCCATGAAAGACTTGAAGTTGCATTCTGCTCATGTCATTGGAGTTGGCGGGGCCAGCTTCCATGAGAAAACAGGTATCATCCGATTCCCCTTATGTTTCTCTGGTCAAACTCGCCGCCAGAAATCTCGACATCTGAAAGCCTGGACCTCTTCAACGCAAGAGCTCTGAGGGCCTTGCGGAAGCCCTGCTGAGAAAGTCGCTCTCCGCAAAGCAGCCTGACAGGGCTGCAGGACACAAAGGGTCGGAGCTGCTCAGTCGCGAGAGCTCTCCCCAAAAACACGGCGACCGTCAGCCGAAGCCGAAAGCCCGAGGCTCTCGGGACCCACTTTTCTGCTTCCGGCGCAGACTTGCTGAGCAGTTTTCCAGCTGAGCTTAGTCGGTCTAGAGGCAGTGAATGGCAGTGAAGAGCGGATTGCTTTCAAGAGTGTTTCCTTTTTCTACGAGCTTCTGCTTGTCGAGCAGGCACGTACGACTTCTATGATGTCTATGGCAAGATCACGACTCCTGCGGACCCGTAAGTGCTGGTGACAGTTCAACATGGAGCTGCGCATCACGGAATCTCCAAAACGCTACTGGTAGCGTTTTTCTTTTTTTTTCCGGGTTGAGTCCATGTTGGCCTTGTTGGCCCTTGCAGGACCTGCAGCGGGCGCTTTCCACAGCAGGGTCCGGAGAATGCACCATTGAGGCCTCGTGACGCCTATTGCCAAAGCTGAGCCAGAAAAGCTACAAGAGCAGACAGCAGTGCAGGTTCGGGAACACTTGCATTTCATTCGAATCCGTGCGCTGGAGGACAGGGCATCGGTAGAGGAGATGAGAGCTGCTGCAGTGTCATCAACCACGATGCGATCTTGTGCTCTCATAAGGACGACAACAGCCGCCTGACGGCGCGACTCGACGCGCTGGAGGCACCGACGGCTAGGTCTGTCCTGAATGAAGTTTGATGGGCCGTGCTAGCACTCTAGAAGCAAAACTTCGAACCGGAGCGCATCAGTGCAAAGCTTATCGTCGGACACGGCAGAGACAGCCCCCAAGAGTGCCATCACAACCTGCCAGTGGCCGGCATCGTGTAGACCAGGCATGTCGTGTTTGTTGCTGGTGCACTGGCATCCTGTTTGCCTGCTCCTTCCGCTGTTGGATCAGGTTTCAGGGTTCCCCGAACCCCACAGTGAGCCAGAGTGCTTGGTTGAGCTTCTTTGGGAAGTTTAAGCGGATCAACAACACTCCCGAAATCAGTCGAGCAACGGGTGCCCGGAAGATTTGTTCTGTTTCAGGCGCATCTTGCATTCTGCAAGCACTTGGTCCCTAGGCCTCACAGCTTCGGTGATGTCGCTTGGGTTTCCAAACCGTCCGTTGCCAAAACTACATTGCCAGAGTACATAAGGCTTGTGTTGCTAGTCGGGCATAGAGAACCGTGAGACACCCTGTGCCAGGTGGCGCTGAGAGAATCCGAAGAACGGAGCAGCATGAAGCTGCAGGCAGGTCCGATGTTCCATCAGAGCACAGGGTTGCAGAAAGCTTCGTCCAGGTGGCATCAGAAGAGCTTGTCAAGATGATCAAGAAGGTGCAACACCAGAGAACGCAGGGAGGAGCCGAAGCGTGACACAACACGAGGGAGCCAGAGCGCACGTATTGCCGCAATCTCTGGCTCAAGCCATTTTGCACACCGAGCTTGGGCACGTCAAAAGGCCAGATTCGGACTGCAATATATCGTAGGGGGGGGGGAGGGTGGCTGGGGGGCATCGTCGTGCGTCAGGCCGGGTTTTCGCAATGCGATGAGACGTCGGTGGCAACTTTCGAGGCCTTCCAGACAACAGCCTGAGAAAACATGTGGCACAGCTGAGCACATAACGCAGGTGGCAAGTACTATTGGCCGGCAGCGCAGCTTGGCTGGACGCCGCGACTGTCTGCAGCCGCGTAGACTTTTGTACTTGTGTACGTTCTCAGGCGCTGGCACTGGTTGCTGCACGGAGTGGCCTAGCTGCGGCGCCACCGCTTCAGGTTGGGTCACTGCATTTGCAGTTCATTTTGGGGGCGTCTCTTGGTGACGTGCAGGAGCTGCTAAAGCCTCCAGCTCAAAAGAACGAGCTGCCGCTCGGCAGAACACCCTTTCAGGTTGGGCTTCTGCAGACAAGTGGAGGAGCTTGTGCCGCTTCTCAAGTGCGCTGCTTCCGTGCAGCTGATGCAGCGTTCCGAGGGCGCCAGTCTATCCGGGCAGCGTCACCGTTCCAAAGGAGGCTGGAGTTGGAACTCCTCCGGGTGCTCTGTGGAACGAGAGCTGTAGTTGAGATTCCAGTCAGGCTCCGATTTCCCGAGTGGCGCGTGCCTCACTCCGGCTCTAGTTGCGATATTCGAAGACTTCTGCACAGGCACCGCGTCTCTGCTCACTCAGGTCGAACCGTTCGGTCCTCGGATGTCAGACGTTCATGTCGCTGCTCCAGCGCCATGACTCGGCAAGCCTCGGCATAGTCAGATGGCTTCTTCAGGTACAACGCCAGAGACAGGGTGACGAAACACCAGCGTGTATGGTACCTGCCTCGCATGTAGCCTTTGCGAAGACAGCCGGGAACGGTCGACACAGGTGGGGCCCTGGCTATGGCAAGCATCCTTATCTGGCAGGGGGCCAAGCCCAAAACCAACAAAAAAGGGCCAAGCCATCTGTCTGAGGCGAAGAAGTGGTCCACTGTGGAGAAGCTGATGAAGCGAAGACCTCCCATGGCCATCCCTGGGAAGGCCAGGCCTCGAACCTGTGCTCGGCTCTGCCTAGCCGTCGCTCCTCGCCTTTGAGGTCGCTCGGCCCACCAAAAGGGAGCAGCTTCTACGACGCCAGCTGATCAATGGCACGATGCCAAGTGAAGCCGACTTCAATCGAATCATCCAGGCACGCTTCTTCCCTTGTCCCTCTGGCCATGCGATTACATCGCCGGAAGTCTGTCCTGGGAGGTCTTCGCACAGCGAGCGCGCCAGGAGGTTCGGTACCCGCTGTTGATCCAGCGCCACCACTTTGCCAAGCGGGCAAAGTCTCTTGGATACCATTGGTGGTCTGCCTGCCGTCTGCGTGCTTATGCGCATGCCAAGGGGATGGGCCTGGGAAATGCTCCTGAATGACATGCAGCCCAGCAGACAGACCTACAAGGCAGCAGAGAGTTGAACTGCTTGTCTTGCCCAACACCGTGCACAAACACTGCCCTGGCCCTGCAGTTGATGATGCTTGCATTTGGAGCAACGGGCCATCATACAGCTGCACGATGGTGGATTGACTGGAGAAAGACGGAATCCGAGAGCGACGAGGAGCGCCAGAGGATGCCCAAGAGACATACACACCGGTAGCCTGGCCAGGTGGACAGTCGTTGGGAGACAAATTGTTTGATCTCCGCCTATGCGAAGGTCGGCAGGCCGCTAGAGGCAGCCTTCCTCTCATGTCGTCCATGCCGTCCTTGCGTCCTTCGCTTCGTCTTCACGTTTTCATGCTGGCAGGCCGCCCGGCACCTGCGCGAGATGAGCCGGAGTGGTCTTCGGCCCGATGCGCGCAGTTTTGCAGGTTGGGGGACGTCGGATTTGGCATCCGCTGCTTCTCTCCGCTTCTGTGCCGCTCGGAGGTGTTATCGAAGCATGGGAGCACATCGGGAATAGGCTCGCCGGGTCCCAGCTTGAAGCCAAGAAGCAAAAACCAGTGGCCCGCTTTGAGGTACCAGATGTTGCGGTGGCTGAAGTTGTATCTCAGGGCAGAAGCCAGAGGTATTTTGGGAGAGCTCCTAGATCCTCGCGATGCAGGGCATCTCGGCACATGAGTGGTTCGTCCCTTTGACCCTCATCATGCAATGCCTTGAGCTCTTTGGAAGGCTTCCCTACTATGCCCTTGCAGAGTCTTACGTGAAGGCCAGAAGCCTCACCCAGTAACCCCCTACAACGTGCACGTGGGCTGAAGGTGGCAGATGCCGTCCGTACAATGAGCCTCTTGAAGGCCGTGAAGGATCGCGGCATACCGCTCAGCATCCAGGCGCCTTTCCGCCCTCCGCCGCACCGTTCGGAGTGCTTCGCCTCCCAACTCCGAGCCCAACTTTCGGAGGCTTACCGCCTTCGTCTCGACGTGCTTCTGCGCGTGCGCGGACAGCGCCGAGCGGTGGACCAGATCGAACGGGCGCTTGCGGCTGGGCAGATTTTTTGAGATGGAACGATGACAGCAGGCTTCCATGCTGTGATACGTGCGGTTTCCTCCAGGTTGAATTCATCAGCAACCGCCCCTCGAAGGGGCCGATCTTCACGAAGGAGCTGCTTCAAAGATGTCGTGGCTTCGACTGCCTGAGAGTGTTACCGCAAAGCTGCAAGGTCTCAAGGCCTATCCTGTATATTAGGCAGACAAGCCCCGGCAACCTGTCTTGGAGACTGTTGGATGCGTTCCTCCACTCAGGCGACGTTCTTGGCGAAGAGCACGTCGAGGCGGTGCTTAGTGACCTTGGTCGGCCGCCCAGGGCGGCCCAGTGGTGTCCTGGCAGAGCCTGGCAAATGCCTGACAGCGCCTGAGAGGTGCCGGAGATGATCTCGTGCAGCAGGAGGGAACCCATCCGTCCAGGGCAGGGGCACACGGAGAGGGGAGATGTCGTTCGCTGCAGGACAATCTTCAAGCAGATGCCCATGACATATGGCAAACTGCAGCGGAGCTGCAGATGCTCACAGCAACATAGGTTTCTTGCTTAGACTGTCTCGCGGCTGAGGCACAGCTGAACGTGGCGATTAGCCGGGCGGTCAAACACAAGCGAATTGTTGCCGGCACGTCGCTTCTTCTGGACAAGGAGGCTTTTCCATGCTTGCCTGTGTCGTGCTTCTTGGCAGCTTGAGCGCGACTGCGAAGGAAGATGATGATGCCTTTGAGGAAAAGCAAGAAGCTCGTGAACCCTACAAGGCTCGCATGGCTGCTTGATGTCGACATGTGCAGAATCCGCCATGGAAAAAGTGCTTGTTGTACATAGTCGCGGATGACTCTTGGCAGGTGGGGGACATTGACCAGGGCTTCCGAGTCCTGAAGCGCGAAGCAAGCGAGAAGGGCTTGCCGGATTGGATGTCGTTGAAGAAGCCTCCTGACTGGTTCAATGCATTTTTCTTTGTGCCTTCGATGCCTGCTGGCCTTTACATGCCCCCCCATCGTCGTCCACAGCCACCGGAGACGCAATGCTGAGGCCCATTCGATACGGCACAGCCAGGTGAGAGCGACTCAGCACTCTTGAGTGCTTAGCTGCAGCCCGGGCAAAGCTCTTTCAAATAGTCCCAAGAATGTTGCAGCCTGCTCGTGGTCCCCGGCACACGAAGCAGCCGTAAATGCCACCTCATGTCCTTCCCGCTTCTTGCTGGAACACGAAATGTCCATGGCAGCGGGTTTGGGCGTGAGTTATGTCATTGTCTCTACCCAGTTCACTCCAGGCCTTCGCGTCTTGGGAGTCGTAGCTGCCTGTTGAAATGAGGCGTCAAGGTTCCAAGTATTCAGACCCCCGCAGCCCAAGTCCAACTTTATTCTGGTTCCTCGTACAAACAGATCCGGCCTCTCATGTGCGCATGCTTAGCAGCACTTCGGGCGCAGGGGGCAAAAATCTCCATGATTTGCCGTCATCGTTCAGGGTGAACCTATGCATGAGCACCGACACTGGTATGTTTAAGGAGCTGTTGGGTTAAACTAGAATGCGTTTACCTACGGTCCGATTCAGCAGGTCATCCTTGCTATCGGAACCTGTTTCATAGTGTGCGGAGCGCTGTAACGACAACGCTGTAAAGAAGCCAGTGCCTTACGCTTCCGGTGCGTCAGATCGACACCCATCGATCATCTGCTTAGGTAACTTAGGTCTTGCAGGATGTAGCACAGGCATGCGCCATTCTGTACCTGCTTGATGCCTCAGTGCGAGACGACCATCTACGACGAAGTTGGTCCCGCGCTGGAGGCCGGACATTGCAAGTGAAGCATCTATTCAGTTCTTCAGGCAATACTACGTTGGTATCCCCGTGAGGCCGTCATGAACAAGCAGCACGACAACGAGCGCCTCGGGATCTTTTAATGAGTTGTTCGTTTTATTTGTTTTGATTTTTGTTGATTTTCTACGCTTGGATTTTGTTTACTGTTTTGGCTTCTGCTTATTATTTGCTTGTCGCTTGCTGCTGCGTTTGTTTTTGTTTTTCTCCTCGTCCGCTTTTCCTCCTTCTCTGCTTTTCCACTTTTCTTCTTTTGTGCTTCGCTCTTCCGCTCCCCTGCTTCTCTGCTTTTCCAGGAGGACCGCGATCTGGAAGGGGTTACCACCCCAAGTGCCTCCCTTGCTCTTGGGGGGGTACGTACCGCCACCACCCCTCAAAAAAAGATGTTGATTTGGGGAGCATGACAGGAAGGGGCGGGAGCACTGAAGAGAAAATGACAACCTGTGACCGTGTGAATGACGTGATTATGAAGGAGAATTTCACCTCGCCATAGTTTGCGCTGGTCTGGGAAACAGGAAACAACAAAATTTAACAACACACGGCAAACACAAATCCTAATTCTCGCACCATGATGTGGGATCGGTGAAGGCCACAAGAGCATTGCTGGGACCTTGGCGAGGGACTGGCTTGGTTCGTACTCAGGAAAGACATTCGTTCGGTGGCGGAGAAGTTGGCACAGTTCGATCTGCAGGAGACTCCGAGATCGCAGTGTGACCGTCGTGACCCGCCCTTTCGTCTCGATGCGTGATTTCAGGAGCTGCGAGAGCTTTCAGCCAATGCTCTGCAGATGCGGGACGAGGTGCATCTGAGTGACTGCAGTCTCCATGAAGGCTGGGTTTGGGTCCGTCCAGGTCATGAACTGCATCAACCGGCTGAATGTCTTAGACAGCCAGTGGCTTCGAGACAAGGCGGACGTGAAAGCCAGCGCCTCTCTAAAGTCGCGTTGCGCGAGCCGCAGGAGGAGTTGCGGGAAATAGTGGAAAGGACAAACCAGGCCGGGGACTGAGAGCAGACTATCCGAGACAGCTGTTGTCTGCTCGCTCTTTGCTCTGCCACACCGGGCCCACTCGCGCCATCTCGCGCCTGTGATCGGCATCAGCGATTTTTACGGGCGAAACTTCTCCTTCCGTTCGATGGTTGGTGGTTGGTTTGCTCTGCTGCCCACTCAGAGCAGTGCGAGTCTTTTTCTGCACCAGAACGTGCTCGAAGCCTTGGTGGCTTCTCTGACACGCTCTTAGCCTGGGCCATCTGTTGCCCAAGCGTCGTGCGAGAGAGGTTGTGCACCAGAAGAGTTACTCTGCAGTGCGCAGAGTGAGCCTGCGGGGCATGCTGCATGGCTCCAAAATGGCCAGAGAGGCACCAGAACCCACGTAGTATCCATGCCATCGCACTAAGCAGCAGTCAAGGATCGGGCCATGCAATCCCCAATTGGATAAAAAACGCATTTGAACCCGAATCCCTGTGTCTGCCTTCACTCTCCAGCAAGGACCTCAAGGACCTGCAGAAGTGCCCTGAAGAAGCGCGCCCTGAGCGTGCAACCGAGACCGCCTGTTGTTCAGGTACATTATGGGCAAGATCGACGTCGGCATCGAGGCAGACGCCGACCTTCGGCGTGACCAGCAGGCAGCTCATAGCGCTGTCCATCCCAACCGAGCTGCCCAAATCTCACGGCAGATCCTGAACGAGCGCATGCAGCTCATTGCGGATGACCTCCGCCTCTTGATGGTGAAGCCCCGAGCTGCCCACGCGGCTCCCGGAAGACACGAAGGCAGCAGTGGGACACCGAGGAAGAGCACCAGCGATTAGCAAACCGCACACTTGGTGTGGTGGAGGCCACCTCTGCCTGAACTCAGACCCATGACAACTGCACCGACTCGCTTGGAAGATCTTCTGGGCCGTCAGGAGAACGAGGAAATGCGGACACTCCTCGGGCAGGTGTGACGAGCAGCAGCATGGGATCATGTCGTTGCGCCTTTGGATGTGCAGGTGCGGGAAGACAACGAGCATCTGCGGCACGACAATTTCCAGGCCCCGTGGAGAGAACGGTCCCCTTGGAACCGGAGCCCCGAACTGCTCAGGTCAGCACGCGGGTTCTCAGCTTGGAAGGCGCAGCGAGCGAAAAGTGGCAAGAGTGGCCGACTCAGGGGGGCATTGGGGGCCTTGCGCTGCCCTCTCGTGCTCTGCGCGCTTCCATCGCCGACTCCGGGAAGGTTTACACCAGCAGTTCTCTACTTCCGCAACTGGCATCGCACTGCCAAGGAAGGGAGCTACTAGTACAGAGAGTGTTCGGCACGAGCCCCACGTCTGCACAGGGGGACGACGTGCAGCTTTCGGCAGATCTGTCCATTGCAGTAGGCCCCGTCTGCGTCCTTGCCCTGTGACTAGTGACAGCCTTGCGGTGCCAGGCCGTGGATTCCTGGCAGCTACGGGCGTCGTCGGAGCCTTGGATGTTGCCGAGGGTGCGCTGATGCTGTGCTCATGTTGGATGCTGCCAGGTGATAGGAAACACGGAGGGCCTGGCTGTAGGCGCTGCTGCTTGCTGGTGCGCACTTGCGTTCCTGTCGTCTTCAGTGTACCATGCCTTCCGATCTTGAGGCGATGGTCCCTGCAGGCATTTCGGGACTCCGGGTGCTCCCGGCGCCCTTGCGCATGTACCAGCATCCATGTCACCGTGGCAGCCGGCAGAAGCTGAAGCGGCAGGTTGTTTCTCCTCTTATTACGAGATCGAGGCAGAGAGCAGAGGCCAGTGAAGGCCAACATGCCGGTCCTTTTCCTGGCAGGTTGATGAAGTCACAGCCTCTCCGGCCGGTGCCGGTGGGCTGTTCCTTGGTGTCTCCTTGCAGAGCGGCGAGGTTCCCTGGGTTCTTCGGGATTCAGAGCGGAGCATGTCTTCGTGAGTGCTTAGAGCAAGCTGGGAGATAGAATGGGGTCTCTAGGTCGTTCGGAGGCTTGCTGCGTGTAACTTTCCCTGTGCAGACTATATACAGGTACTAGTGACCCCCGCAATAAACCCCGACTTCAGATGTGTACTGGGTTTAGAACAGGAGATTGCCAATCATCCCCGAAAAGAGTTCGACGGCTGGTTGGTTGGAGGCAGTGGCAAGGCCGGGACTGCGACTGGAGCCGGAGTTTGCCAGTGCTCCGTAGTGCTCCATTGCTTTCTGGTCGGAGGCTCTGACACTTCGGGCCAGCTGCCGATGCCTCAGGAGCAATGCAACTTGGTTGTTCTTTGGCGCTCCTTTTATCAGTGTGATGTCGAGGTGCGGCTGAGCCAATCGATGCGGCACGCTTCTCATCAACAGCCTGCGATAGGATTTGAACTTGCTCCTGCCACAGAGTTCCAGACGCGGCAACGGTTCGCAGCGAATTGCGGATGTTTGCTGAGCACGCGTGGAACTGTACCCCGACGCAGGAGAAGCTTCCAGACACTTTCGCCCCAACCAGCGACGAGCGCAGCCTTCGTGATGCCAGAAAGGCATGCGGGCGTGACAACAACTATGTCTACGTCAAGCAGAGAGGACGGCCGTCACATCGTCAGGCTTTGAAGCTCCTCCGAGCAGCGCTGCCTCCCCTGGCGAAGGGAAAGGTGGAGGAGGCGTGTCTCTTTATCACCTGAGACCTCCTCGAGCCCTCCTACGGTCACCAGCTTTTGTATCTAAGTCGGATGTGGCCTGTTGATGCCTGTTGCCAGGTGGAGCTCCGGGACAGCTGGAGCAGCGAGGCAGGATGCTGTCGTCTCTTTGAGAGATGTTGTGTGTTAGTTCAGCAGCTCCGACCTGTTTGCCACAGCTCCAGACACGACTTAACACTGGTAGTCCGGCACGCATCTCGACAGCATCGCATCAACGGTCTGCATTCAACAGCCTCCAAAGTTTTAGCGCAATGCGAGCCTGAATGCAACGTGGTGATTAATGCAATGCTAAAGCATGGCCGCTGGCGCACGGCGCTTTGTGCTGCTGCGCTAGCTGTTGTAGCACGCCATGCGCACCTTGATGCATCCAGGTTGATCTATCTGCGGTCTCGCTCTTTGGGCTTTGGGCTTTCTTGTCCTTGAAGCCAGAAGCTTTAAGGTCCCGGGCCTGGTGCGAACCGGGCCGTAGTCGCAGTGCTGGCTCCAGGCTCGTGGTGCAGTGGCGTCGGCCGGGTCTGTAGCCGCTGACGAGCCTGCCGAGTCACCGCTGCCCTGGCCGCCGGCGTGTCTTTGATGCCGTTGCCGTGGCGCTGCTGGCGGAAGAGGCTTTCGCGGAGCAGGCTCACGGCGGCTTCGGTTGCACGAGGCGCGAGGCGAGGGCCAGTGTGCCGGTGCTGAGGCTCCCGTGTACACAGAGACGGACAACCTCGGAGAGGTTTGGACGACTGCAAGCGCCACTTGTCTCAGGAATGCAAAAGCTCAGCAGTGAGCCTTCGAGTGTGGAAGCTGCGAGGTGCTCAAGCGTCGTGCCAAAGAATTGCAGAAGCTGAGCAAACGCAAGCTCCGGGGCTCGCAGGCTGCGATGTGCTCTGTGTTTCATGCCGGCCCGAGACACCTTCAGTCTGACTTCAGGCTCCTCTTCCACGTGCCTTTCTGACCTATCTCACCCGAGCCGCCTGGAGAAAATTCTGGCCACGGAACCACACCGTCGCGTCACATAACTGGTCACTGGACCATGCTAGGATCCACGCTGTGCAAGGATTCTCAAGGCAAATGGGCAGGCTGAATGCCTAGAGCCTAGAAAGGTATAGACATTGCATCAGAGGAGAAGTGGCGTAGAAGTGCTGCCGAATGCAAGAAGCTTCGTCTTACATCTCACTTCTGCTTGTCCTCATGTTCGGATCGGGCCCAGGTGTTAATAAACTACGACCGCCACTTGCCTGCACAGGCTGTTGCGTGGTAACGTCTGATTTGTGACCACGGTAGGCAGATCGATTAAACTTTGGGCGCAGCCCGGACCCCAGCTCTGCCGGTTCCCTTTCTTCCTCTCTGGTCGCTTTCGCCGACTGCAGGTCCGCGCCCGAGGGCGCTGCACCGGCTGAGGCGCGGCGCGCACAGTTTGCGGCCCTGGCGGCTGCTGTGGACCTGGGCATCATCGGCGCCTACGGCAGCGATGCGCAGGGCACCACGGCAGTGACCCAGGTGGCATCGCGCTCCCTGTGATCCCTCCTCTCATTTCTATTGTTACCTCAGCTCAGGCATCCAAAGCCTGGCGAAAGCACTTCGTGGCCTTTGCCGGAGTGACGTGTCGGCCAAGCGACAGGCTCGGGGCCATTTCAGTCGGCAGCTCTCGGGATGCTGTATGGTGCACAGTCGGCAGATGTCGGCAGCTTCGCATCACAGTCTCTGCATCTGCCTCTCCTGGCAGGTGGCTTTTGCTCTGTCGTTGCTTCCGGCCGACTTGCAGCGGCCTGCCTTCATTGGTGCGCGAAGATGCGAAAGCTCTGTATGCTGACACGTCTCACCGATTTCGTGCGAAGGCCCGTGAATGTCATCGAGGAGCTGGTCAACGATGTCACCTCCAGTTTGGATGCCCACTTAGTGCTGAAACAGGAAAGTAGCACAAGCATTGCGATTTCTGAGCATGCGGTGGAGCGAGAGGATGTGAAAGGAAGCTTTTCCTGCTCAGGACTTTGCAGTGGGCTTAGAGTGCAGTGGTGGATATGCTGCGGTCAGGGGCATCGGCCGAAATGGGCACGTGTGATGCAGTGATTCTGTGAAAGGTGTCTTTCTCTGTGTGTGTGTGTGTCTCATCCCTGTAACAAAGGGCTTGTAGAGTGAAGTGCTTTCTTGCTTGCTCATGTCAGTTGTGCGAGCAGGGGGCTTGAGGCTCACAGACAGACTTAGACACCTGTCTGTTGAGTGTGATATGATCCTGGGACGCCGGGATCACGTACCTGCCAGAAGCTTGTGGCACACTGCCTGTGACAGCCTATTCCTTCGGTGTGTATGGTTGTCCTTGAAAGCGAGACTCGAGAACTGTAGACGTGACTAGACAAAGACACAGGCGGCAAATTAGAAAAAACGAGACAAGCAAAAAAGAACCACATCACCGACGACATTCCAGATCAAGAGATCTGATGCAAGTAAGTCTGTGTGTGTGTGTGTAACACTCTGATAACAGAGACATAAGTGCAGGGGGCCGGTACTCTCGTTGGGGTCACCGGCCAACGAAGACACCCCCATGGAGGGGTGCAATCGTACTTGCTTCAAGGGGCCAAACCGACGTAATAAATCTTTAGCTACTCCCGAAAGGGTGTGTCCAAGTGTGTCCTCGACCGGCATTCTGTCAAAGGGCCGGGCGTAGCCGCTTGATTTTTTCAGTGATCCTTTTGCAAGCAACCTGTTGCCATCTTTGGTGTTTAAAATCCCTGCTCGAGCGAAGCTTGATCTGCATCTTGATTCATACCTTGATTAAGTCAAACTTGATCTGTACCTTGACTGTTTCACAACAGACGACGACAGGAGGCCAGGACCCAAATCTCAACGGGGCGGGACCCTTTCCCCGGACGAGGACACATGAGGCCGAAACCCAGGCCTCACGTGGGGCACGACCCTCACCCCAGACGACGCATTTTCCGGGCACCATGACGTGGCTGCGGCTCTGACCTGCGAAAAGTCATGGTAAGCCCAAGACGACGATAAGAGGCCAGGACCCCAAGCCTCTGTGGGGCAGCACCCTGATTCCAGACGACGCTTGTTGCGAGCATCATGACGGGGCTGCGGTTTGACGTGCGAACCGCCATGATGCTCGATGTCCTTCAGCTTTTCGGCAAAGGGGAGTGGCTGTGTGTGTGTGTGTAACAATCCCCCCGCCGTGCTAAATGGAAGTGTGGGGGGACGAACGTAGGCATTTCCAATTACCGGTTCCATTTACCACCTTTGGTGTTGTGGGGGGGCTGAATTTTGGAAGTCGTACGTTCCCGGAATCAGATTTCCATTTATCGGTTTTGGGACTCTGGCTTGGTTGTATGTTCTCAAAACTCGAGATTTCTTGAGCTTAGCATTTGTCGGGCGGGCCGGGCTGAAGACACTAAAAAGCCCAGGGAGAGAATTGATGTCG